GAAGGTGGTGGTTAACTGGTTGAAGAAAGAGGACAGTGGTTTGTGGAACTTTAACAATGAAAAGAAGCAGTTCTTATGGATGTGTAGGGGCATTGAGATCCAATACAGCTGGGTGAAGAGGAGTGCCAACTCATTTGCGGATGGGTTGGCCAAGCAAGAGGTGAATAGGGAGTCTGTTTTTTGGGCTAGTTTTTAATTTTTTTCTCTATGTATTCTCTTTGTATTCTGTATTTGGGGAGCGAAGATATTTTATCTCCCCTCTTGTATACATTCTCCCTCTTTTCTCTTAATTTAATGAAGCTGGTGTTATTGATCAGAAAAAAAGAAAAGTTATCATTGCTTCTTTAAGGATTAAGGTTAATGAATTGTCTAGTTCTAGTTGGTAGAGGGGGAGGAGAACTCGCAAGTCGTGATAAGATGGATGATAATTGGGCTGAGAGTTCAATGGCTACTCTAGTAGTACATCTGGGAAGCTAGATCTCTTGTTGCCACTTTGAACACTTAGTTCCATTGGAGACAAAGATCGGCTAACTCACTTGTTCACTATGATGCCCAGATACAGGTGTCGATGGGATATGGGAAACAAACATATAACTCCATTTCCTAATATCCTGGACAGAGATATGGGTATGGGTCATAGTTGTCAAGGCGACGCCTAGGCAACAAGGCGCCCTTGGAGGCTCGCCTTGCCCAATCGCCAAGCAGTTTTGTATACTGTCTTATAAAATACTTCTATATTATTATTTTTTTGAGATTATAATTATAAAATAGACATTATTAAACAAAAATATCCATTTTGTGTGTTTATAAACTAATTTCTTTTTATTATTTTCTTATTTGTTAGGGTTTAATCAACACAAACATTGCTAACTGCTGTATTGAACCCTCAAAGACTTCAAAATCTGAACCAATAAGTAAGGGAAGAACTTAAATTTTGTCTAATCAACACATTTCTTCTTCCACCTTTTCTTCTTTTCCTATAACAAAAATAGGGATTCAGTCCCTATATTTTTTGAATTTTCTTTTCTTTCTTCTTTTTCTTTCATAAATATGTTGATTTTCCAGACATAAACGTGAAGTTTATAATTTTCTTATGAAAATTATGGATAGTTATCAAGGAAATATGGTTATGGAACCTAGGGAACTACCCTAGGATATGTGGCTTTTACTTAAAAAAAATCCATCACCTAGGCGACTAGGTGCCCCCCCCATCGCCTAGCCTCGCCTTGGTGCCTTGAAAACTATGGTATGGGTATCATATTTAATATGCTTATATAATTCTTTTATATTAATTATACAAGCTAAGTTATCATTTTTCGGTACTTTTAAATATTACTTTTACCATGCCAAATTTAATTGAAGTTCTAACACCAACAGATTCTTTATAGTATATTTATTAAACATGCCAAAAGTTTCTAACACTATAAAGTATACTCTAGAAGTAACCATGCAATATCCAGTTACCATGTTGTGTCAGACAAGGATATGTTCGACATGTGGATCGTGTGGTTCAGGCATCCAAGCATCAAAGTTTGCTAACTCTTTGATTTGAGGGGGAATAATGCAGGAGCCAACAGAGTCAAATTTTGAAATTTTCTGAATTTGTATGTTTTTGTATTTTTAGACAATAGGGATATTTTGGTCATTTTAAATGTTGTCTCTGGGTCCAGCCTAGGAGTTTGAATTATCTAATCATAGTTTAATTTTGTCTACAGTTTCAGTCATTGGTTAATTAGTTTGAGAACTACTATTTTTTCTTATGATAATCTCAATTCTATAGGTTTTGAGTTTCTAATTCTAACAAGATAAGCATCTCAATGGTGTCAATATATATGTAGAAAATTGGAAAAAGGAAAGACATAGCTAAAAAACTTTGCAGATTATTTTCAACTTGTGTGACTTTTGGTGTGTGATTCCAAATAGGGGTGGCAAATGGGTGGGTTGGGATGGGTAAGGGTTGAATACCAACCCACCCATATTGACCCACCAACCCACCATGACCCATCATCAATCCTTGTTAAAGGATCATAACCCACCCTAACCATAACCCACCCTGACCCACCCATATTGACCCTTAACCACCCTCACCCATACTAACCACCTACCCTCACCTATAAATACAAAAATGGATCGGGATGGCCCGTATACCCGAAATAATAACTTTTGAAAGAATGATCTCTTTCAAGATTGTCACGTGACAAAAACAAGTCAGGTCAACCCGTATACCCGAAAATGCAAAAATTGTAGATAAATGCAGAAAATGCAAAAAATACTAAAAATTTCAGAAAAAATACAAAAAAATACCAGAAAATTATGAAAAATACTAAAAATTGCAGAAAATTCATAACTTTTGTAGACAAAATCAGAAAATTACAGAAAATGCATGAAAAACACCAGAAAATGCAACAATTATGCATTAAAGCACCAAAAAATTGTAGAAATGCAGAAAAATACCAGAAATTTTCAGAAAATGTAGAAAAATACCAGAAAGTTGCAAAAAATGCAGAAAATACCAAAAAAATATAGAAATTTTGCAGAAAATGCAAAAAAAATGCATACTTTTATAAAAGTACTTTTATTAAAATAATAATTTTCTGCTGGGAGGTGTCCTATAGGAAAATCAACACTTCAGACCTACTGCAAAAGAGAAGGCCTTCCATGTGCTTGTCTCCTAACTGGTGTGTACTTTGTAGGGCTAATGGTGAGGATTGCTCTCACTTTTAACCTGTTCCTTTTCTGTTGCTATTTGGAGCTGGATCTTTGCCTTGCTTGGGTGCAGGTGGAATTTGGCTACAACTGTAGATCAGCTCTTTGACCCCTCCTTTGTGCGGCCCACAAAGATTGGTAAAACAATGTGGAGATGCAGTAGAGCTGCTGCTCTGTGGACAATTTGGGAAGAAAGAAATGCGAGGATTTTCCAAGAGAATGAGAGAAATATTCAGAACATAAAGGACTGCACTTTGAACAGGACAATCCATTGGCTCAGATCTTTGGAATCCTTTAAATATACTCCTTTGATGACATATGGAGGAATTGGATAGTTGTGGCTAGTAGTAGTACAAGGAAGAGCAAGGTACCAGCAGTGTGGGTGCCTCCTCCTGAAGGCTGGACAAAGCTGAATTTTGATGGTAGCAGCCAAGGAAATCCAGGCCCTTCAGGAATAGGAGGGGTGCTGAGAGATAAAGACAGCAATATCTTAGCTTTATTCTCTGGCTCTGTGGGTATAGGAGACTCTATTAGAGCTGAGCTTCTAACTGTGGTACAAGGTATTCAGATTGCATATCAGTTTGGAGTTCAGAATTTGCTTATTGAAGGAGATTCCAAACTTGTTGTGGGTTGGTTAAAAAATCCAGATTCAGTTATTCGGTGCTACAGGGACATTATGAGAAAAGTTAAGTGGTATTCAAGGAACATGATTGTTAATTCTCAGTGGGTGGGTAGAACAGCTAAAACAGCTAATGCCATAGCGGATGGGTTAGCTAAGCAGGGGTATCAAGGGAATTTCTATTCTGGGCAGCTCTGTAATCTTTTTTTCTGAGCCTAATGTAATACTTTGTTGCTGTTGAGGAGAGGAAACTAGCTCGTGCCACTCCTCGGGCAGTCTATTTAGTAACATCACTTTATTATCTCTGAATAAATTACCATTCATTTATCAAAAAAAAATTGCTTTCGTGTAAAAGTACTTTTATAAAAGTGTTTTTATGCTTTCATAAAAGTGTTTTCGTAAAAGTACTTTCATAAAGTGTTTTCGTGTAAAAGTGCTTTGTAAAAGTACTTTCGTAAAAGTACTTCCGTAAAAGTGCTTTCATGTAAAAGTACTTTTATAAAAGTGCTTTCGTGTAAAAGTACTTTTGTAAAAGTGCTTTCATAAAAGTCATTTTCATAAAATTACTTTATAAAATTGTTTTTGTAGAAGTGCTTTTGTGTAAAATTGCATGTGAACACGAAAGTTAATAAAATCTATTTTATTTCACTTTTAATCTCAAAATGAAATGTGGCATGGTGGTTTGGAATTGTAATGAGATATAGATGCGTTAGGAGGTCTGAGTTCGAGTCACTTCAACTGCAGTTTTATTTTATTTTTTTTTTTAGATATGGCGAGTATAGATAGAACTGACTGTGACCCAAACCATCCTGACCCTAATGGGTACCCTTGACCCAACCCACCCTGACCCTTTTCCACTGACCCTAATGGGTTACTTGACCCATATTGACCCGCCAATAGATTGGGTGGGTATGGGTGGGTTGGGTGGGTCAAATGGGTTGGGGTCAAGATTGTCAGCCCTAATTTCATTTGTTTTTTTTTTCAGGTTCAGTCATCAAAGGCCTGAAGACAAGCAATCAAATGTCACCATTCAACATCAACTAATGGAATAAATTGATTTCAGGTATGCTTTATCTCAGTTCCCTTCGACTATCAAATTTAACACATTTTCTCTAGAGAGAATTTTCTCTCTAAATGATCCCTATAGAATGTTGGTGAAAACCAAGTTCTCTTCACCCACCACCCGTATCAGATTTTTTTCATCCCATTGAAATAGCTTAAAAGTTCCTACTAGAAACTATAGTTTTTAAAATTACTAATTCCATGAATTCTCATCATTTTGTGCCAAACCATGAACCATCTCAAAAGTCCTCCAAATTCTGTCTCATTGTCTGTTTTGTTTGTATATCCTCTCATGTACATCCCCCTCCCCCTTTTTTCCCCCTTTTGAGTATAATAGTTGCCTTTTCTCCAAAAAAACAAAGCCCTCTAAATTCAATACCCTTAGTTTAACATACTAAACACTTCTTTGAAACAATTTGAAGAAATTCCATTCCAATCTCAAAACGTGATGAATTTTTGTTTTTCTCTCTTTAGAAATCCCTGCGTGTTGCAAGAGATTCAACACTAAATTATATGCCTAACCATTTCACACATTAATAGCCCCAAGCAAACATTTACCCACCTTCCTTCGACCTGCCCCTAGCTTTAAAAAATCAAACCTTGGACTTAAACCCTAGAAATCATTGTTTGTATTTCAGTTTTCCCTCAAATTTGTTACCAGTCCGGCCTTGGGTGACATACTGACATCTGTTCTACATTAGAGAGTCAATAGAAGTGAGTGTATTTTGATCTCAGTTGCTAGACTATGAGATAAAACAAGACAAATCATATACAATACCACCAAGATAAGGATTAGAATTAGCTTCAACAATTCTACCAAGGTTGAAACATCTGAAGTTTTGATTTTCATTAAACTTCCATCAAAACAATATAAGTTGTGTACAATAAACTGAATCTCTATGGGTTTCAAAATGCCAAGAATATCAGATTTTGTTGGAATAATCAACACAAAAGTCACAAGGCATTAAATCTTTAAACCTTGACTACTGCGAAAACTAACATTTTCAGCATTAAAACCTAGTATATGATAGAATATAGATAAAGATGCTAACAAGCACTTAAACAAACCTGAACTATCTCTTTCTTCTTGTGAACCTCTCCTTTAGGAAGTGGAACATACTCTTCAGCCTCAAGGTCAAACTCTGTAGCAAATGCATCACATCTACCCACTCTTTTAACTGCTCCACTATTTGCCTCAATATATATAACATCACCAACAGCAACCTGCAGTTGAATTAGGAATTTCATGAGAACCAGTAAAGGCAAAGGTAAAGAAAAGGTGTTAAATGCCCAAAAGATATTATACCAGTTTGATTTATTATGACAAGAGGGACAATGTACATATCCTGAATTTTGATATATACACTCACCATGTAATCCTTGTTTTCGTCCCCTTTCCATGCTTTAATACAACTTAATCCTTATGTGAAAAATAAAAAAGATAAAAAAAAAGAAATAAAAAACATGAGAATTCAGAGTGGGAATGCTCTAAGTGACTGGGAGGAAGATGACATGGCCAAGTTGCTGCAAATAATTTAGATCTGTTCACCAGATGCCAGGTCCTCCTTATTTGGAATATGGATGTAGGATATCTCTGAAATGTTCTAGGTAAAACCTTTATTCAATCAACTAAGATCATGAGATAATGGCTCCTTCCCCATAAACAGTTTGTAACCCTCCTTTAGATTTGTTCATCAATCCCAGGTTCTCCTAATTCTAGAATATATATATGTGTGTGTGTGTGTATGGGTGTGCGTGTGCGTGTATGTGTGTGTGTGTGGGATATCTCTGACCTAGGTGAAGTCTTTATCCAATCAACTGAGATTTATGGGTAGGGGTGCAAATGGATTGGATCATGATCCAATCCGATCCAAGATCCAATCCTATTTGGTCGAATTCGGGTCACCCCTGGTCGGATCTTCGGATTGGATCTGATGTGTTATATATTTATATATAAATATAAATATATATAATACATATATATATGTTATTTATTCATAAATATATTATTTGTATTGCATTTTTATAAATTTGTTATATTATTTTTTATAAAAAACATGTATGTATATATATGATGAAAATAATTAAAAAATACTTGTATTTTTTTTCTTTATTTAATTTGGTATATTTTATTTTTTTCGTTTAATAATTTATTAAATTTTAAAGAAAACAAGTCGGATCAAATCAGATCCGATAAGATTCGAATTCAGATTGAGTCCTATCAGATCCAATCAGATCTTCGGATTGAATCAGATCAGGCATGAACAGTGTCAGATCGGATCCGAATATACCCTGATTCTAATCCGATTCAATCCGTTTGCATCCCTATTTATGGATAGTGGCTCCTTCTCCATAAACGGCAGTGTAACCCTCCTGACCCTACTAAGTTGTCGTTTATTGTAAGGACAGCAGCATTGCCACATTTGTCAAATACTACACAGAGAACAAACTGTTAAGATGAAGCAATGGAATTCTATCTACCAGTGGATTGTATCACTGCAATTCAGAAATGGTAGAATGCCTATCACTCCATTGCCCATCTATCTCTATGATTTGGGCACAGTTTCTTCAGTTCCTCCATTCCAGTTGGTGATTTTTGAGGTCCATCCTCAGTGTTCTATCAGACTGACAAATTAAAGGCTTATAAATATGATGAGGCAAATAAGTATCAAATAATCTTCTAACAACCATATGGACAATATCATCAAATGGAATGGGAGAACCTCAAACGCCTGAGAACACCTAAGGAAGAGTCTTCTGGGTTTGGGTAGAACCTGGGCCTGAGAAGGGCTGTCAGGGACACATACCTTGGGAGTACTTCGAACTTGTTAACAATTCTTGAAAATGTTTTCTTGGACCCCTCTAATGAAGATATCAGAATTTGGACCCCGTCCTCCTCTGGTACTTTCTCCTGTGCTTCCTTCTTTGAAACCTTATCTTAGCCTTCTACCTCTAGTGGTCTATCTTTCCCTGTTAAAGAGGTTTGGAGCAAGCCCATTCCTCCTTGGGTTGGTAGTTTTTGTTGGGAAACATTCCTGGAAAGAATTAATATAGGTGACCTGCTTCAAAGAAAGAGACCTAATTCTTGTCTATCCCCATATAGGTGTATTCTTTGCAAAGTTGAAGGGGAAACTGGTTACCACCTATTGATTTCTTGCCTGTTTGCTATAACTATTTGGGAATGGATTTTCTCCCTTTTTGGGTGCAGCTGGACCCCTCCCTTGAATGTGCAAACTGCAAAGCCTCTTCTCTCCTTCTTACTTTAGTTGGCCTTTAAAAAGAGGGAGAATTATGTGGAGATGTATTAGGGCTGCAATCTGCTGGCCTATCTGGGAAGAAAGAAACTCACGTACCTCAGAAAAGGAAAGAACCATTGAGAATGTAATGGAGTTAATACACTTAAGGGTGGCTCACTGGCTGAAATCCCTAAACCTATTCACAGTTTTCTCCTTGGATGACTTGTTGAGAAATTGGTTAGAGATAGCTAATTCTGCCCAGGTTAATAAGGTTTCTTCTCCCTCTTGGACCTCTCCCCCCTGGATTCATAAAGCTGAATTTTGATGGCAATAGTTTAAGGAACCTAGGGCTCTCTGGTAGAAGGGGAGTGTTCATGAATAAAGAAGGGCTTATTATAGCCATGTTCTCAGGCCCTATTGGAAAAGGAGACTCTCTTAGGGCTGAGATCCTTGCGGCTCTGGAAGGTGCCCAAAGAGCAATGGAGTTGAACCTAAGAAAAGTGGTTGTTGAAGGCGACTCAGAGGTGGTGGTGAGATGACTAAAGGAAGATAACTCTAGTACCTAGAACTACAGCAATGAAAAGAAAAAATTTAAGTGGTTGACTAGGGACATTGAGGTGGAATACAGTAGGTTAAAGAGAACTGCTAACTCACTTGTTGATGGGTTAGCCAAGCAAGGGGTGAATAGGGGATCTTTCTTTTGGGCTCATTTCTAATTCTGTATCCTTTGTTTTCCTATAATGGGAGAGTTAAGAAAGTTTACCTCCCCCTCTCTTGTAATTAAAGTTTCTTATCCCTAATAAATGCTGTCTTTACTGATAAAAAAAAAAAAAAAAAAAAAACACCTGAGGAAGAGGTACACAAAAGACAGTAGAGAACAAACTCTTGAATATATGTGCAGTAAGCACAATAGTTTCACAGGTTTAGCTCCCATTTCCTTTTTATCTTGTTATACGCTTGTTGTGCAAAGATGAGCTAATTTATTTTCATATTTTTCTATGATGGGATGATTCTACCACTATGCATGGGCCATAGTTGTACACTTTTTGCTTTCTTATATAAATAACTCTTGTTTTATCCTTTCAAAAAAACATGGAACTTCAAAATATTCTTAAGTCATATGATCATTATTCCATGCATAACTAAAAAAAGAACAATTAGCTTAAAGATCCAACCAGAGATCACAAGTTCAATAGCCTCATTTTTTGCATCAACAGTTCAACACCAAGAAGTCCTGATCAAGGTCCATCATATACTCAAAAAAATAAAATATCGCCTAACCTTCTCCTTAATTAAAGCATCATAAATGGTCGGGTCCAACTTCAGCTGCTTGGTTCCTTTGACAGTTTTTAGCCCGATAATTACATGGCTAATGCTTTTTCCATAGCCACCTGTAATGCTCTCAGTTTCTTCAGGGGAGAGTTCAGTCACCTAAAACAAGTTCACCAAAAGACCAGAAATCAGAATGCAAATCCACGAGAAAAAGTATCGTATGGAAATCTAGAGATTGTACAAGTCAGAGAGTGAGGATATGAGAGCACCCCGGCTACAGCTCTGATAAATAATAATCCAGAGAAACAAATAAAGAAAAGCTCACCTCTCCTTCAAAGACCTCCTTATTTTCCTTGATACGTAGACCAATAGCCCTTCGGAAGTTTTCCATTAAAACTTCGGTTTTCTTTACTTCTGCCGAGTATACTTCCGACCCAACCATTGGGCAGAAGGGTACCTACATTTACATAGAAATAGAATGTGTCTTGAACACTGTGCATCAAAATATCCCAAAATTTGAGTTCAAACCCATTTTGGTGTCAAATAAACAAGTTGTACATGAAATAAGCATGGAAAATTCAAGCGCTGTGTACCTTGCTTCCAAGCTCCTGGGATATTCCAAGGGCCAATGCAGTCTTCCCTGTTCCAGGAGGCCCGGCCAGCAAAAGTGCCCGGCCTGCCATCTTCTTCTGCCTTATCATATCAACAACAAGACCTGCCGCTTCTCGAGCCCCAAGCTGACCCACGAATCCACCAGCCATGGGAATCGCTCTGCCACTCGACTGCAACAGGTTTTATGTAAATAACAGAAATTATAGCTATGATGTTGTCTACTCGAGAAAAGAAAATAAATGAAAGGAAAATAAATCAAATCTCGCGGATAAGTTTTACCAGGAATGGTGAGAAAACTATACATTGATTAAACACTAAAACCCCAAACCCCTAAAACCTTAACAACAACAAGCTCACTTCCATCGAACCACAGATTTCAGGAGGAAATGCAAGAAAATTAAATAATTTCTGTCAGTTGAGAGAATGGGAAAGCATACGTACATCAAGACCAAGGCCTTTGATGTGGGTGTGAGTAGCTATTCTCTGCTTCTTTGTCGTGGACTGAACCTCTTCGATCTTCATCATCTTTTACTTCCTCCCTCTAAACTCTGAATGCTCCAAAATTCCAAACGCTCGAGCTCTGCTCCCTTGCTTTGCTTATTTCCCTCGCGACCCTTCTTTAAAGGCCCGATAAATTACAGATACCTCGCGCCCATAAGCAATGTTTGGAATGGCTTTCGGACGGCAGCTTTGGGCTTTGTGAGCTGGACCCCACCCGAGCAGCCAATAAGCAAAATGTTTGGCCAACAAGAGATAATGGCTACGCGGTTAATAGAACTGTTCATCGGCCGGGCCGGGCTTTGTATATGTATCAACAGAATACATTTAGGCCCGAGCTCGAGCCCGGTTCGACTATCGGGCCTAATTCTTGAGCCTGAGTTTGACTCTCATATAAAGCCCAAAGCTCGGGCCCAAGCCTGAACCCGGCCAGAAATTTGAAAATAAATATTCTTTTCTTTTTTTATTCAATAAAAAAGTGTTTTATTTATAATAAACATCTCACTATTACTTAAAAAAAAATGAAGAATAATAAAGATAAAATGTTATATATATTATTATTAAATAAAATATATTTTTATGATTTAATATATTGTATCAAGTCAAGTTTAGGCTGAGATTTTTTGAGAAAGCCCGAGCTTGGCCCCAAAAAAATTGGGCTTGGTGCTTTAGGCCCGAGCCCAAGCCCAACTTAATAACAGGTCGGGCTGGGCCAATCCGTTAGGCTACCCGGCCCATGAACAGGTCTACCAATGAAGCCCGTTTAGCCAATGTGTTTTAGTGCCCGTTTGGGATGGCTTTTCTGAATTATTCTTTTAGTTGCATGAGAAAAAAACATATTTGCTTCTTAGCTCTCATGTGGCGCTCCTCACACCAACCCGAATTTGATTTTGTCCTTGTAGCTACGCTTGGAATCGTTGTAAATCAATAACGGTGTAAAACTTCACACCGGTTCGATTTTATCCACGTTTGAAATGATAGTGTAATCATGATCATCATAAAACTCCACTTTGGTTCAGTTTTGTGTGCATTTGGATGGAATGGAGTGTTATGTCGATAATCGACGTAAAACCTATAAAACATAAAGTTTTACATCAATTATCGACATAAATACTATATCAATTTTATTGATGTAAAACTTTACATTCTTCACCCATCACATTTTTTAAAAAGCAACGGCCACTTTTACAGTTTAGTGAAAAACGTCATCGGTGTACTTTTACACCGTCCTTATAGCCCTTGCAACTATTAAAAATGTTTTCCATAAATTACAAAGACCCCCCTCCCAACTTTTACATTATGGAAAATACCCCATAATGTCATATTAGTACTTAGAAAGATACAAAATTCAAAGTATCATACGATACGCATTTCGGTCGTATCATATTAGTACTTAGAAACGATCGAAACACCATTTTGTTAGTTTTTTTTTTTTAAGTTTGGTTTTCTGAGAAGCTTAAAACATGTTTTTTATTATTAAAGAAATTGGGGGTCCCAAACACCTAGAAACAAGCATTTTGGCCTATCATATCAAAACTTTAAACCATGGTAAGATGATGGAAGCCTTTAAAATACCAAAATACCTTGGGAATGATCTCGTTTATTAAAAATGGTATAACACTCTAAACAGTAATGTGAGAATCTTTTTTGAAGTTAACTGAGGGGATCTTTGTCTAATAGTTAAAGTTTAAGGGGATTTTTGTCAAAAATTAAGTATAAGAGGTTTTGTCACTAACCCCAAAATACAAGGGGGTCTTTGTAGTTTACCCTAAATAAAATCATACAAGTAGGGAGATGTTCCCAGCGGATATCAGGCTGTGAGGGTGTAAGGTTGATGTTAGGATTGATGGTTTGCAGTAGACCTGTTCATGGGCCGGGTAGCCTGATGGCCCGGCCTGCACCCCAGTTGGGCTTGGTCATGTAATTAGGCCCACAGGCTTGACCTCGGGCCTAACACAGTAAGCCCGACTGTGTTTTGGGCCGGGCTCGGGATTTGTCAAAAAAGCACGGCCCGGCCTAACTTAGCATTATATATTTTATAAAATATATGATATGTATTTTATATATTATATAAAATATATAAATAATATAATATGTATTTATAATTTAATATATACATTTTTTATTCTTTTATTTATATTCTCTCTCTCTCTCTCTATTCAACCACTTTAGTAGTAGTAATAGTATGGGCCAAATTTCGGGCTCGGGCTTTTTATTTGGGCCGGGCTCGGGCCCAAGTTGTAGGCCCGATGGTGGGGCCGGGCTCAGGCTCGGGCCTTAAAAAAATCTATTAATACAGAGTGAAAGCTCGTCCCGAGCCCAACCTGGCCCGACCCATGAACAGGTATAATTTGCAGGAATAGGGGTCTGGAATTGGGATCGGAATGGGGTCTTCTGATTCCAACTGTTTGGTTGGACGAAATTAGAATCCTATTCCCATTCATGCTGGAATGGCATTCCCCCATTTGAGGGAATGGCCATTTCCTACCCTTCCCTTGGGAATGAAATCCCATTCTTGTCGACTTTAATTCTCATTTATGTCTGAACCAAACAGACTATGGAATAGACTATTCCGATTTTGATTATAATTCCAATTCCAATTCCGATTCCAACTACGAACCAAATGGACCAATTTTTATTCTCACAAAACTGGTATGAAATAGGCCCCACCTCGATGGAGTGTAAATGGGTTTTTTGACATCTTTTTGCCTTTGTGAGTTGGACCCAATCCGAACGTCCAATAAGCAAAATACTTGATGAATTTTTCAAAAGGCCCAGTATACCAAGAGAATAAAATGGACATCTAGTGAATATTGTTTTAATGCATAATCATGATGGATTTGCTTTTGGATGTACAAGATAAGACCCACCATGGAAGGATTAGATTTGATTAAGTTGCTTTCACAAAACCTCTTTAAATAAATAACTAAAAGCCAACTTCATCGAAAAGTCGTCTTTCATTGTTAATTGGAGAGTATATTTGGATTTTCTAGTTTTTTTTCCCTCATTTTGTAGGTGTGGCACTAAATAGATAGTATAAGTTGCGGAGATAACGAGTAAGATGCTGGGAAGAATAATGACACGAGAATGGATTGGTTTAGGTTTAGAAATATTGGAATTTCAAAGAATGAAAGACAAAACGATGTTAGGGTTTAAATGCTTAGAGAATGGTTAAGCGTTAGGAATTAATGGACAAACAACAATAGGATGAATGGAAGCCAGTGAATGAATCCATGGGCCTGTCCGCATCATGAACCCTGTTATTTATAAATGAGGGAATGGCTCAATTCGTGTATGGATGAGAATTATAGAAGATTCTTAAGGCGATTAAGGACTCTCTAAGAATACTGGGGGACATGTAGTTAAGAGCTCGAGTCATTAGGTTTTTTTGGATGAGGACATGTGTCATGCTACGATACTGGGGGACATGTTTGCTCTAATTCCCACGCCTACAAGCTCCTGGTACATGTTATCTCAGGGTCATGCGATAAACTCTTCAATTATATTGTTCCCTAAGTTGTCATTTTGCTTTGTCTCATGCCTCATAAAAGTTGTCCACGGTTTAGGTTTAAGGTGAAGAACATTTGCAATTGGCCTCTGAATGGAAAATCCATGGTCTTTCTTAGGCGAGTACTACTTGAAACCTATGGTTTTGTTAACATGGCTAATTCATAGTGATATTTTAGCGTAATGTAAGTCTATTCCCTCACGTTTTTCACCATACATAATTTACAGGCATTTCTGTAAGGGGTCCAACTTGCAAGGCCATTAGATGATACATGAAAGTTCTCTTGGATGTAGTGGTGAACACAAGTTGAGCTTTTAACAAGTTATTTGAGCCTGACCCGTAAAATGCTCAATTTGGCTTAAACTAAACCAAGCTTCGAGCCAAATATATGTGGTTTGCTAAATCAAGTTCAAGCCGAATCAAACTAAAATATATGATCTTTTGAGTCAGGAAGAATTCAAGCTCATGATTCTAAATTGAATCAAGCTTGAACCTAAACTTAAGCCTCATGTTTTTGTTTTTTCTCCCCCTGCAAAGCCAGATTTTAGTAGCTATATTTTACTCAAATCCACCCATACATAGATGGGCACTCAACAACATCTTAATCGGCATTCTAGAAGCTAGCTTCTATGCCCATTTGAGAGGGTTTTCTTGTATCGATTTAGGTAGGTCCATGTGGATTGCCATTAGACATGTTCATGGGCCAGATAGTCTGACGAGTTGGCTTGGCCTGACCCATCCCAAACTGGGCTTGAATAAAGTTTTAAGCCCCTGAGCTCGGGTTTGGGATTTTCCCAAATAAGTCTAGTCTGATAATATTATATATAATATAAATATAATACACATGTTAATAATGTATAATATATATTATATAATAATAAAATTAATAGCAAAAAAAATTCTATATATTGACTATATAGAATAATATGTTATAAAATACCTTTAAAATTGGGCATGGGCTTGGTGATTTTCTTTTTATAAATGTCCCGTTCATTTTTCGGTAAGTTACTTATTCAGGTAAATGCAATCACCTAGGTAAGTGTTTCCTTACCTGGGTAAGTGCATTTACCCATGTTCTTTTATTTCATAGGTAAACAAGGTAATGACCATTTTAGCCATAAAAATCCATTATTACCAACTTTCTCCCCTTTCAAAATCCAAAAAAAAAACGCCCCAAAAGAGGCATAGCCCAAGCCGAACCCAGTCCGACCAATGAATATGTCTAATTGCCATAGAGCTATTTTCGGTGAAATCCCCGTAAAGCCAGAAAGCACTACTGTTGGGCCGAGAAATCAACTGTCCAATTGATTTATTTTGGTAGTTTCTCCAAATATGTTAAACCAATGTCGCTCATTCAACACAAAAGCCCTCCCAAATGAATTCTAATAGCCTTTTCAAAGTGGATCCAATCAAGGCAGCTCAACCAAAGCTTCTCCCAAACAGGCTCTTGAGTAGCTTATTCAAAGTTGTTCCATTCAAAACATCTCAATCAAAGTTGAAACCCTCTCAAAGGGGAGTAAGGTTTAGCTAAACACTTAGCTGTTCAACAAGCTGTGGAATCAATGATAAGGTTTAACGTCATTATTAAATACATGGGCCTGTATCTTTTATAATGGAGCCCATGAATTTATTATCATCATTGGTTAGCATTCAGCTAATCTGAATTGCTCAAACGGATGCTTGGTTGAATATAGTGTTAGGGTTAGGGTAAGGTCTTAAAATGTTTGGGTTGGTCTAGGGTTGATCTCAACCCGAGCCAATCCGGCTAGAGTGCTACAATACAAAAACCCCAACTAGGCAGCTAGAGCTAGGGGTGTCCACGGTTCGGTTAACCGAACCATGGCCCCTTTTTGTAAACCGAACCGATAGTATCGATTTTTTTATTTCACTAAACTAAAACTGAATCGGTACCATCGATTAACCGATCCACCGATTTTAGTTTTTGATCGATTCAGTTCTTCGGTTTTTCAGTTTTTTATATTTATAATATATTATATAAATATATGTATAGTATTATATTATAAATAATAAATGATATATAATATATTATAAATATATAAAATATTTGTAAATAAATGATTATAAATATAATATAAGTATATATTTATATAAAATACATAACAAATACATGATATATATATTAAAAATATATATAAAATATAGATATAAATAAATAAATATATATAGATATATATATATATATATATATCGGTCGGTTCGGTTAACTATTAGTTTTTTATATCGTAAATATAGGGAGAAAGTGTAACGTCAGAGCCGAGACTATTCTTTCTCTGTAAAAAATGTCGGAGGTTCTCCCTCCAAGCGAAACTCGCGAAGAAAAAAAGCCTATTGAATCGCAGGCGATCCAAGACCAGGCCATGGACCAAAATCCGAGTTCTTCTAATCCTCAGGCACAGGAATGGGAGATCAGAGCTCGAACCTGGCTTTCTACCCTACCGAAGCGAAGGAACGTGATGATGAGCGAGATAGAGGCTTGGATTAGCTTAAACCAGGCTTCTCTACCAAATGACCTCAAGTCGTTGCCTCGATCACAGCTATATCAGCGGTTTCTCTCCATTCACAAACCCGTTCGACGGTGTAATCAGGTTGAGCGATCGTTTCATTTTTACTGAATTCATTTTTTTTCGGGCATTATTGGATTTAGGTTAGCTAATTCGATAGCACTTCATAGATGCATGTCTGGGGTTTGAGAAATTATATCCCCCGACTTAGAGAAATACGCTGATTCATTGATTACTGCTATGTTCCCTTGGTGATATGGCAAGCGAAATCCAGTGTTTGACAATCTGAACAGAATTCTGGTTTCTAGTTCCTTGTATGTTCTGGCGATAGTCAATTTCCTTGGCCGCGTTTTTACACCCCGACACAGGGTGTTTTCTGTATACATCATGGCATTGTTGGGTTAGTAGCTGAAGATTCTTAGACGTTTCGGCCTTTGCCTCATAGTAATTATCCACATGGTCCATGGTTTAACATGTAAAAGATAAATAGATGTTTTGTGCAGTTGAAATCAAGTTGGTTGAATCGGGACCTGTTATTATAAAATTCGGGTCTTTTCCTCAACCTCTTTCACGGTAGAGTCAGGAGTGCACGGAAGGAGACAAATGAAGCAGCCGATCTGTTGGCTTCCTTTAGTATAGGAACGGAAGGAAGTGATCCAGTACTCTAGATTTTTCTATCTGCCCCTATACATATCGTAAAAAAGGATGCAGGAATAAAAAGGTGTTTAGAGGCATTGAGTAGATTATTGAGAAGAGCGAGTGATGTAAAAAGGTGTTTAGAGGCTTTAGATGGGCAGGGATAGCAAAATGTTTTTCTCATCACGGTTTGTGGATAATGTGATTATCATGTACGAGTTTCAGGGTGTTGTTGACATTAGAAACTTTTAGTGTTCTAGCTGTGTTTGAGATGTATCAAAAAATAGCATTGCAGGTATCAACATCTTTTTGGATAGGTAATGGAAACCCCATCCGTTACGGAGAAAAGAAATAAGAAGATATGAGGTGCCTGAAAAGCATGAAAAATACAAAAGAAAGGGGGAGGGGTTTAAAGTCAGACAAGTGAAGTGACAGCTCCTCTCCCTTTTTGAAAATGAGCATAAGTGAAGTCCAAAAACTAAAAGCGACGTCCAAAACTGTCTAGAAACAACCCAGTTAGCAATGCTGAGAAATAAGAAGATATGAGGTGCATGAAAAGAAAAACATGAAAAATACAAAAGGAAGGGAGAAGGGTTTAAAGTCAGACAAATAAAATGACAGCTCCTTCCCCCTTTTGAAAATGGTCACAAGTGAAGTCCAAAAACTAAAAGCGTCCATGTCTAACACTGTCTAGAAACAACCCTGGTAGCAATGCTCCCGAGTGAGGCCTTCCTACACATTTCAAATTTCAATCCAATCAAAAAGAACTAAGCTCACCTTCTTGATCCCTTTAAGGCATATGTGTAGAGGAGCAGTGCCCTTGTCCTGTAAGATAGCAGCATGCCTGTCAAATATCCAGTAGAGCCACACCCCTTTTTGGATAATGCCCCTTTATCCATTGGCTACCAGCTTCCCCTGTTTTACTCAGCCCTTTGTTCTATATTCTGATCTTACTTTCTATGGGCTTGATCAGATCCTTGTCATTGGTAGGAAGAAGCTTTACATTGTCATAACTTACAGAAGTTGACTAATTGCATTTCTTTGAAAGCAGTGCCATATTTTCATCAGTTAATTTTCTTTATGGCAGGCAGAAGAAATTAATCAGGTTGAAGCCCCACGAGCTCGCTTTCAACGCACTGATCAATGGCTGCCAGTATATTCATGGTTAGAAACATTGGACAAGAATGAAGTAGTTAAATCTAAAGAAATTTCTGAATGGCTATCTGAGAACCCTAAGGTCAAAGAGCAGTTGTATGCAAAACATTCTCGTTATAATTTGATGCATTACGTTCAGAAGTGCCATTTAAAGATATTGAGGAGGCGGGAGAAACAGAAGGTATAACATCATTGATTTTCACTTCATTGTCATTTACATTTTATTGGAAAATATTCAAGTTATTGTAGTTGCACAAGGTACACAGATGCTGCATTTCTCTTTCTTGAAAAATTCTGGATGACCTACTCAACATCATAGTATCCACTTGCACAGCTTTAAGACAGTTTATTCCATGGGTCAAACAGTTTATTGAAAATTAAATATAGGAATTTTCTTACTCCAATGGTGATTCATGATCCAACCCCCATAATCTTGGGAAATCCATTAAGCAGAGTTTTTCCTCACCATCTGATTGATTGGATTTAGTCTGAAACATGGACAGTATACAATGTGGCATGTTCTGAATCAATTTATGGTAGGAGAGTGAGACGGTCCCCTCTCGACCTACTTTCTTCCCCTGTCTCTGTAACTCTTCCTTCTAGGGATATTGTCAACTTACCAATTTGGATTTCTTGAAATCTCAACTACCATAGAAATACTGGATGCATTGAGTTGGAATTAATGACAACCTTCTTGACTCTTAAATATGTATGCTTCTCTCCTCATGGCCTGGATGTTAGAACATAGTAATCAATTTGGTGGACCACTCTCTTGCAAGTCCTATGAAGCTTTTCCTCTCATTCTCGTGATATTTTCTCCCACAAGGTGGTAGTACAAGGGATGTTATGCCTTTTCTGGGGTTAAAAAGGCCATTATCCAATGCTGATCCTAGTTAGAGATGAAACTTGGGTGGGCGGGCTTGGGTTGAACATCTGTAGTTTAGATTCTTCATATTGGGTACCTGACATGCACTCCTAATCTCAGCCATCTGAGGTCTTGGGAGGGGTGAACTAGATGCAGACCTACCATCTTGCATTTCTTCTACATGACTTGTCTGCTGTCAGACTTGAACATGAGGTTTCACAATTGTTGGCCAGAGATTTTATCCATGCACCAAGCAATTTGCCCCTGGGCCCTTTTGGGGGTAAAACCTTCAAATGGTTGATGGTCCACCAGGGTCCATAATACTTGTGCTATGCGTCTGAGGAGAAGAAAGGACCATACCTGCTTATTTCCTTGTGTTTGTATAGGAACAACAACCACATTTTCATTCATTGGAACATGACCAAGACTGCATTGTATCATGCTTTTAATCTTTCAATTCTCTTGGGCTCCCCCCATGATACCATGCATCTTGCATTGCAATGGGGTGGATTCCCCTTGGCAATGGAGAAAAATACTTACAAAGTATTTACAGCTGTGATATTAGCAGTTTGAGAATAAAGAATGAGTTAACCTGTCAATAGAAAACATGCTATCTTGAACAGTGTGGTATTGGAAGTTTACAGCCTTGCTTTGGTGTTGTTTTGGGGATTTCATGCAATGAATTTAAGGGATTGAACTTAAGGGCATGATATTTGATTGGAAGGGGTATATTTTCTCCTTTCCTCACCTCTAAGAAGCAAGAAAGATGTCATCCTTCCTATCCAGACAGTGAATTTTCTCTTTTATTTGGTAAGAATTTATGAATTCATAGAATAGGAAGAGAAAACAGAGAATAACATGGTTAGTGCCAACAGAAAAGAAGAGAATGAGCAACAAAACCTAATATAAAAACAAGATTATATAAGAAAAACTAACAAATCAGTGAAGATGACAAATGTAAGTCATTCATAAGTCCTAATCCCTCCGAACAGGACTACTGGCCATTGAGTTGGTAGTTTTTGGAGTTTATTTGAAAAAGATGGTCATTCTGGATGCCAAGCTCTCATCTCACTGTTAGGATTCTCAAGCTTGAGGGTCATTAGAGCTATTGCTCATCCATTCAATGAGTGCCTGAGAGTCAGCCTTCACCTTAATGCACTTAAGGTGGAGCTATCATTCATCACATAGAAGTCACCTTTCAATGTTTCTGGCTTCAATGGAAAGAGCAAGCTTGAGATCCTAAAGAATAGACATAGTGCCAGCTTTACAAAGTTTTGCACACCAATAGGACCATAAAACTGCATGTAGATCTCAGCATCACTGGATAACACCAATCTCAGCATCACTTGATAGTCTTAGTTAGAGGATGGCCATTTTATAATTCTTGTTTCTTAGTCAATAACTGGTGTATCTAAGTTTCTAGACTCTAGTCAAATGATGTTGATCTTTTATCAGACATTAATTTTATAACACTAGTTGCTTACTTGAACAGGGAGTTCCATACTCTACTGCAAGAGCTCGTACTAAGGATCACAATAATGGTGTAACAGCGGCAGCAGTACCGTGTATGTCTGTTTTTGATAATATCTTTACTGTGTCCAACTATATTTATGATATCAATTTACATGTTTACTGGATAGATAATTAATTTTTTGATGGTGTAAAAGGATAAGGAGAGAATGAAAAAGGTATCCTCACGGTTCACAATTTCTCTGAAACATAGTGAAGTTTCCTTGTCATTTGCATATGTTCCAAGTTTTGGTGAAATATTGTGAAGAATCACCAATTTTACCCAAATCAGTTGAGAACAATCATGAGTAACAGAGCTAGAGAATGCCCTACCTACAACTATTTGCATAAAATAACAATATAAGTATCAACACCTCTAACTAAGGGCCCATTTGGCACGTCTTTCCATGTGGTCTTTCGGCTGTTTACAAGCCTGGAAGACTGAAAATCGTGTATTTCCGTTTGGCACGTGGAAGATCTAGCCACCAAAAGATGGGACGCCGAAAATACATGCGAAGCCCATTTTGGGCTGATTTCAGGAAGCTCCAAATGAAGCTTCCCGCATCTTTCGTGTTTTAATCTTGTGCAGTAAGACCTGAAACGATGCACGGAAAGACACGCGTCTGCCAGACGGTCTTCGAGCTGCCCAGATCTTATGTCAAAAGCTCAATGCGTCTTTTGACTGTCAGAGCTACAAGAAGATCTTCTCAAAAAGACTTGCCAAACGGTCCCTAAATTTTTTCAGAATATTGAACTTATTAAAATTTATAATTAATTTAAAGATAATTGGTTCTTTATAATAACCATACAATAACAAAGGTGGTGTTTGCCACATTTTCAGCACGTCTTTCAGTCTGCGGGAAGCTCAAAAGGCCAAAAAATGGTCTTTTCCTGTTTGGTATTGCATAGGCTGAAAAACCTGAAGACGAGTGTATGGAAAGACTGAAGAAGCTGAAAATCAGGAAACTTCAAATGAAGCTTTTGGTCTTTCCGCACTGAAAACAACCTTCTCAGCTGTTTTTAACAGCCTAGTAGACCATGACGCGAACCAAGCAGTCTTGGTCTTTAAAGACAAGACCCCAAGTGCATCTTCTCGTCTACTGGGCTGTTGAAAGATCTACCTAGAAAATACTTGCCAAACAACCCCAAAATATATCTATGTAATAGATTGTTAATTTAAATCATAGACTAGAAGTCTTAATTAAAATTTCAGTTAGTGTATGATAATTATAGCATTTCCACAAGTACTAGAGATCTGTTTGATAAAAACATGCACTTATTTCCTATCATGTTGAGTTGCACATGCAAGTGTACTCGTATTAGGTAGCAATAATATGGGTGCACAAATCAAGGTAGGATGATTAAAATCACCTCAAGCAAAAGTGGTCATTTTGCAAAGATGTTTCAATTGATGTCAATTTAAGAATTTTTATCTTTTGTTATTTGTTGTACATGGTTATTTTGTTATTTTTTGGATCTTGAGTGTGTAATTGCACCTCTTTTAATTTAAGAAGTTTAATCCGGATGTGGTAATGCTTCAGGAGTCCAAAAGAATGGATTTTGATTGCAGATGGGCAAGGAGTAGGGGTATAAAGTGGGTGGCTGCTCCCTTGTGGGGTTCCTTAGGAGGGATTGTGACCTTGTGGAAAGAAGATTTACTCATAGGTGTGGATGAGCTAATTGGAGATCATTCCGTCTCCCTAAAGTTCAAACAGGTGGACAATGGGTATGAATGGGTACTAACAAATGTGTATGGCCCCAATGACTATAGGCAGAGGGAGAAATTATGGGAAGAWTTGAGTGACATTAGAGGCCTCTGCCTTGGTGTGTGGGAGGGGATTTTAATATAGTGAGATTTACAGAGGAAACCAACAACCCCAGACAGAGAGTGACAACAAGTATGAGGAAGTTCAACCAATTTGTGGACTCTTTTGAACTTAAAGAACTTCCTTTCCTAAATAATAACTTCACTTGGTCCAACCTTCAATCAAGGCCAATTTGCTTTAAGTTGGACAGATTTTTGTTCTCAACAGATTGGGAGGAACATTGGGGCAATATTACTTCTAGGGCTCTCCCAAAACTTATTTCAGACCACTGGCCTATAGTGTTGGTCAAGGAGGAAATAAGAGGAGTTGGGCCTACCCCTTTCAGGTTTGAAAACATGTGGTTGATTCATCCAGGTTTCATTGAGAAGATCAGAGAGTGGTGGGAGCAAGCTAATCCAGTAGTTGATTGGGAGGGAATGAGGTTCCACAAGAAACTTAAAATCACAATTAAAGGAGTGGAATAGGCTGGATGTATCCATATTCCCTCTTTTCTTTTAATTTAATGAAGCTGGTGTTATTGATAAAAAAAATTGCACCTCTTTTAACATTTCCTGAAGTTTTATAGATAAGTTTGAATTTCCTCAAATTCTTCAAATTTCTGTTTGAAATTTATGGAATTTTCCTATTTGCACATTGTGGTTTCTTAATGAAACTTGCTGATAAAAAAATTCCTTATGAAACTGACACCACAATCCATGGATGTCCTAATAAACAAGGACAGAGTATTTAAAATAGGATCCATCTCCAATCATTTAGTCTTCCTTGTCATCTTCTTGAACTTTTTAAGGGCATCTGGCACATACATATTTTGGCAGTGGATCTTTCTTCATATTTGGATATCATTCTCTTATGTTCTGTCCATATACCTATGGCAAGTTGGAGGTAAGAATTTCCTTTAAACCTGTTCCCTAGGCCCTAAGGCCTGTCAGCAAAAATCTCCTTTTTTTGATAAGCAAAAACCTCCTATTTTCTCCCTTGGCTATTGTAAAACATATGGAAAAGGGAGAGTAATAGTAATATGACCATGCATGACAAGGTTGTGGACATCCTCTTCATCTTCCATACATGTTATACATCAATTAAGTTTTAGAGATCTGCATGCTTATAGCAATTTTTTTGGTAATAAATAAAAGAAAAAATTTTATTAGAGTACAAACAGGTGATAAGATATCACCCCCCAAAATAACCAATGAGGACCCAAACAATACAACCCTTTACCCTTCTTAAAAGACTTAAATACATGATTCTTTTCTCATAAATTACACAAATTAAAAGACAATACTGTACCTAACTCAACTCCTAGACTTCATACCAAAACAGAACCCAACAAACCCCTTAAAGGTTCCCAACCCAAACACAAAACTTGGTAGAAAACATCAATCAGGTATACCTTTTGGAACTTTCTTCATTCAAAAGAATATCTCTTTTCCAACTCCCAGAACAATTTCCTCATCATATTTTCCCCTCTTAATACTGAAATCCCTAAAGCCTTGCTTACTTGGACCCTGGTTTCCACTACCTTACGAGAATCAGGTAATCAGTGGTAAGCTTATTGTCAGGGACAATTGTCCATATAAAGATTTCAACTTTTGCAGGGATTGGGTTCCTGAGATCTGATCAACTTTGCTTCTTTACCCCTTCTTGCATAGTGATAATAGTTATAATCTTTTCTTTTATTTCCTTATTTCTCACTGTGCACTTGGTTGCAAAGAAAATGAAAGAATGGAAGAGAAAATCTAAAAGTAAGTTATATTACTAGTTTGGTTTATAAGGGAAACCAAAGGAGAAAAGGAAGCTAAGACAAATAGCAAGGTAAAATTTCTCTTTGATCTCTTATTTTTTTTTTCTTGTAAGAGGTAGAGAAAGCAGAGGAAAACAGTACTACAGTAGAGAATGAGAGGAAGCAAAACTGGCCCCACTCCCTCTGTTGTTTTTATTTGTTTTTTTTTTTCACTCTTGAAGATCTCAACCAAAAGTAGTGTTAGTGTTCTGATACTTTTTCATTCTTGTAGCCACACTTTCCATTGTTGTTTGGCCAGAAGACTCACAACTTAGATTATTTTTCTGGAAATTAAGATTGTAATGCTTTGAAACAATTACTGGACATGATTTTGGCTTGGAGTCATGAGGTGTGGAATATCATCACTTCATCAATTATTTCTTTGCTGAATCAGTAGTTGAGTATTACTTTCTTTTAAGTATGGGATATTTTTCTTAAAATTGAACAGATTGATGGTAGTTTCTTTTGATCATTCTTTTCTCAAATAACTATGGCAATACCTTTTGCATATTTCACATCTGTGTTTGAGGACATGAGGGGGCATTCTTGAATATTTTCCAGTCTTCAAGCAGCTAAGACCTTGTTGTTATCCAGACTTGTGAACCTTGGCTTTATGTGGCCTTCTACCTGTTCATTCTCTTCCTAATACACGCCTTTTGGCATGTACTTAGTTCCACCTGTAGTCTGTTGACCTGTTTCTAGGAAGTTGCTCATTAAAGATGAGATGGAACTAATCAACATGGCAATTTGAAACATCTCTCTCCTAGGGGTGTTGGAACATATAGTACTCAGATGCCTGCATGTGCTCAGGGTTCTTACACTAGGCACACTAAAGAATACTTTTTATTTTACTGTTTATGGTAGTATAGGCATAAACGGAAATGAGGACAAATATGAACTGTTTCCTTCAAGCTCTGTATTGATTTTTTGTTAAAATTTTGTGCTTGAATTCAAAGGAACACACTCTGTGACTGTTGTTAATAGTAGTGATAGAGGCCTTTTGTACATGGGCTTGTCCTTGTCATTACAGGAAAGAAGAAAAATATTCCTACTATTTGTATTTCTCCTGTGCTTTCTGAACAAAATATAAATTTAGAGTTACTGTTTGGGTTTGACCAACTTTAAACCAATGCCATATATTTGATTGAAATGACATTGTGGAAGTTCTCAGTTATTGTTTAGTTAAATCAAAGAAACTACTGTTGAATTATTGGATATTTTTGGGAAATCAAGCAGTACTAAAGTTCACCTGATGTGAAGTCATTAGCCTTCTGGCTAGCCTACCTTGGGGCTTGGTAGGATTTAAATTTAACCCTATAATGTCTTCTTTTTCAGGTAATCCTTCATCCAATCAGTCAAAGGATAATGACCTATATTTAGCTAGACGAAAGGAGGCCTGTCGTAGATATGAACTGTAAGTTGATAACCTTTCTCACTCTGTGTGCGTGTGAACATGGGTTACTAGTAGTCATTTAGCAAATTTAGGATCTTCCATGTATTTAATTAACTTGGAGCTCAAAACTCCAAAGTCAAAGGATCCTCCAAGTTTCTTTACCTACTTATTCATGAAAAGGTTTGGGCCTAGAATTCCTTGCCACATGTGCAAAACAAACTCTTTTTCAAAGATTACTAGATTAGATTTAATATTGAAAAATATTTTTTTAACAGCTAATCTTAATTGTGAAAAATCGCCAATAGAAGATGGGACATGTGGTCAATTCAATGGTTCTCCTATCTGATGGATGTTAGATCGGCTACAGGATCCCTAACATGCCAGAAGTAGGTAGTTTGTGCATGATACTGGTCATTACTTGTATTATGGTAAAACCTTGGGCTGGCAAGCATGAGAGCGCAGGTTAGACTCTGAGGGCAGCCACTTTGTGCAAAAAATGCCGAAGGTTTGGACTGTACCTAGTCTTCCCCTCCCAAGACCCCAGATAAGTGGGGCCAACATTGGGTAATGGCCTTGATATAATTACCTTGTAACAAAAGTAGCAAGAGACAACTAGTTACGTCCTGGTTTATGAGGGACAAATTTGGCCATCTATTGTAGTAGTATATATATTGATTCTTCTTAAAACCTTTACTCAAGAAAATAGTATATGAAATATTACCTTATTTGTTACTATACTATTTATTCTCTAATTTCCAAAAAAATCATTCTCCTCATAATTTGAGTTACAATTTAACAATAAAAAGAATTGAGTTACAAAATTGGCCTTATATATATATATATTCTCATTTCTATACTCTTCAAATACTCTTTTGCTATTCTGTTTTACAAAATAGAAAAAGAGGTCTTCCATGTGCCTTGTGAAGGACTGATCATATTGTCCCTGTAACTTTTTTCATTTAAAAACTATCCTTATACAAGGGGTTATATTAGGCATATGACCATGGGGCTGTTAAATAATAGCTGAAGGGGCTGCACAGAATGACCGACTTATTCCTTTGTCTTTCAGTAAATAAGTTGTTAAGTTGGTTTTGAGCTCCTCATTGGCTGAATGGCACATTGGATTAGTGACCTGAAATATTCTATTATATGATAATTTTACGCACTAAAAGACAATAATAGGTTATTCAGTTCAGCCACTTATGCTGTTTATCAAGCGGCTCCTATGACTTTTTATCTTAAGTTTCTCCCCGTAAAGGGGGGTAAAGAGACAAACTTGTAGGTCTTTTTGCCCCAAACCGGCAAACCCTATTTCCGATGACCAAGTAACTGAGATGATCACTTGGTGTTCCTCTAAAAATTAGGCACAGTCCCCATTAACCCCATTGATGTGTATCATGTAATACCCAAAATATCCATATATCCACTTGCAGACTGACTGTTTTTAATATGGTTCAGTTTAAAGGATTTGGAGAACCATCTTTCCAGCTTCCTTGCAAAACATAAACAAGTGAATAACTGAAGGGGATCGGGTTCACCATCGCTGATCTGCATGAATGCAAGTACTCTTGTACTCGGTTATTATGGCCTTATGGGTGATGAGTAAGCCTGGAAATGCCAAAATTTGCTGCGTCACTATCACAAGGGCGTGGGATTATGCCACTTAGGGAACTGAAGCTTGCATCTCTGTGGCTCCTACATATGATGAAAGGGGGGAGAAAGAACAAGGAGAGTCGGAAGTTGATATTGTTAACCTAGCACAGCCCTACTCTGAAGCATCTCCAGGAATTTGTGATACATCTCCAAAGTCATTAAATCAGGCATAAAATGTTGAAGATGGCAATATTAGAGTGCCTTGAATGCTTAAGTTTTTGCATGCCTGAGATGAGAAACCAGATTGGCTTTATTTGAGACCCTTTTTTAGTTCTTACAAGAGGATAATTACTTTCTGTTGTTTATACTTCAATCAATTATTGAAACCCTCCGACAAAGGGGTAAAACCATTTCCTAGCAAATGGATTGTATTGCCTTGGTTTAGCGGTAGTGGACAGACCTAAACATTACGCATTTCTGTTTCCTGGTCTCTCTCTAGTCCACAACCCCCCCTAGTTGATTGCTCAGTAAGTCTATATTCCGAGTCCTGTACAAGAATCCATAATTGATCCGTCTTTTCCGAGAGGCTTGTCAATACACCTAATTGTTGATGTGTAGTGTAATGGTTAAAATGGTTCATTCCTCATCTGCAGTAAAAATTGTTCCTTTTTCCTAGTCGAACGCCTTCTCTTCTGGTTCTGACCTCTTAATCCGACCATCGGATCTGAATTTTGGATTCAAAACCAAGCCTGGGAAATTTCCTTGAAAATATACCTTTTCAACGTTACTTATATTTTCGGCTTCCAAGATTCCTAGACAATTATGTGGCAACTCCCAATCACCAATCCTGGGATAGGGTTTCTTCCTCTTATTCTGCTTTCCTCTTAGAGTCCTACTATTACATGGAAATCGCGACCTTCAATAAAGTGCCAGCACGTCAGTGTTTACACTAAATTCGGAGCATCCAATCAACATATTTTTTCCCTTCTATTTCAATACTGGCGTGAGTGGCGTCTTCGGATTTCATTGATATCGATGTTTTATCATGGTTCATACGGACCCGATCTACTCCGGATCTCTTGCCCACCAGAATCCTGTTCACGCCTATCCACAATACACTACTCCCCATGAATTGAGAACATCTCCCCCTACATAATACCATGCAGAGGATGAGATGTTCTCCATGTATGGCTGTGATAAATGTGGACAGGGTTTTCATGAGCAGAAGATCCGGGCTCGACCTGATCACCCAATACATGGCAATTCTTCTTTCTTCGTTTTCATCTTCTTCTTTGAGGGCATTCTTTCGCTAAAACCTTCTTTGCGCTATATGTTTCAAGTATTCGGTCAAGCTAATTAGTTAAGACTTAAGAGTTCAAATCCCACCACGCAGATCCCCAGTTTCCTGGCACCTTCAACGTAATTCGTGATGCAAATGAGCCCTAGAACCTAGATGATACTATTTTTTCTTCTTTTTGTTATTGTGCTTGTATAGTTGTATAGACGTATGGTATCTTTCCAGATTTTTTAGGTAAAGATTTCTTCAAGCAGTCAAACATAAAAGACAAGCAACTATGATTTGGGTGTCGAAAAAGTCTCTTTCTTGGAATAATGTACTATCCGTTCAGCGGATGCCCGGATCACCAAGAAATAAATTTCTCCCCCAAAAGTAGGGTTGAAATTGGACGGTCGTCATAGAAGTAGTAACCAATTACGTAGGTTTCGAGGGGTTTGATTGTTCAAATCCTTTGATTGGATCAAATTCAAATATTACTAAATTCAATTCATTAAGACCGATCTGGTCTGCATGTGCAAAAATAATTTTTTTAGTATTAACCTTTTTAAAACCAGGGCTCAAATGTACTTATATTTTTCTGCCTATAATATATATATTTTAATATTATAGATTTATGCTAATTTTATATTAATCTATTAATACTTGAGTTGAATTAGATTCCGTTTTTTGATAAATAAAATATAAAATCATATTCAAATTGGACATCTAAATACATAAAAAATTGAAGTCGAATGTGTTTTATAGTATGAAAATTGGATTTTTATTGAATTGGATTCAGATGTACCTCAATTCAAAGTTGATCCAATTCATTTGCAAGCCCACCAAACAGTTGCACATTTTAAGTGATCAATAGGGATTGTAATGCAGTAGGTTTAGGGAGAGTTTTGTAAATTCTACTCATCTCCTTACACCTCTTAAGTTGTATTCTTCTCAAGATCCGTAGCAGGTTGGATTTTTAAAATTTAAACCCTTTCAAATATGAAAATGCAAAACCCTCCTTGACCCTACCCTCATTGCATTTGAGGGTGGGGCAGATCGGGTTGATGGGTTGGATCTAGAATGGACATCTAATTTCTTATTATTTTTTAAATATAATTAATAAATAAGTAAAACAACATAAATAACATCAAAATTTCTGATTATTTGATTAAAACATGTAAAAAATATATAAACTATCAGTTATTCTTTGTATTAAATTCAAAATATTATTAAAGCCAACATCTAATACATAATTTCATGTGATTTCCAATAATGAGTCAGTGAAGGTCAGGTTTTGTAGGATACCGTATCACCCTTATAGATTATAATATATAAAAAATTATTAACCCCAAAATCCATTTTTCAAATAAAAAACCACTACGTCAAGGCGGGTAAAGCAGATACCATCTGGCAGTGTAGAAATTACCACCCTTTTAGGACACGTTTATTGACCGTGTTATAAAAAATGGACTAGCATCATGCTATTGAATAGGAGACAACATTTGGTAGGCCGAAGTCATTGACTCATTGCTGAGTTTGAATCACCTACCAACAAAATATGTTCCAACCCACTATCAACACAATCTCACTCCGCACATCTCATATATGGCGGGCCACAGTCTTAGAGTGAGATGTAAGGGGTTAGATCAAGTTGGTAGAGGGTTGGAGCATGTTTTGTTGGCATATCTCAACTCCTCATCGCTAGTTTAACATAGCTTTTCTTACAATGGAGGCTCCTATTAATGTGACTGAATCTGTTGCCCCTCCCACATCTCTGCCGTGACATTACAGCTGTGTATCGAGAATATCTCTCTTATCATTCATGAAAATGTTTTCAATAAACGGTTCGAACTTTTGTTGTTGTGTAATAATTTTAGTGTAAATTCCTGAAACTTCCTCTTAAATTTATGGTTGTTGTTGAAACTTCCTTTGAAGTTTGATAATTGCAATCACTTCTAAATTTTTTGACATAATTGCAAGTAGACCCCTTTTGGTAGAGTTTTCCAAACAGAGGGATGAAAATGTTCAATATATCCATACAGTTACTTCTAACCAAAATGTTTGTTTTCTAAATTTTCTTTTCATATATAGATGATTACTCCAAACCTTCCAATATTTTACTCAAAAAGGAAAAAAATCCTTCTATTGTATTTTCTAAATTTGATTTATTTTTCAAATTTATCTTTCATATCAATTACTCAAACTCAAAGGTAAAGCTGCAACTTTAAGTTCTCTTTGTTTTTATTGTTCATAAATTATATATACATATATATTCAATAAAAGCTAGCCTCAATATTATTGTGTAAATATTTTAAACATTTTCATGCCTAAGATTCTACCACATGGGGTCTATTTGCAAATGTATCAGAATGTTCAGGGAAGCTGATTGCAATGACTAAACTTTAGGGAAGGTTTCAGCCATGGTGATAAACTTAAGGGAGGTTTCAGCCATGGTTATAGACTTAAGGGAGGTTTCAGCCATGGTTATAGACTTAAGGGAGGTTTCAGCCATGGTTATAGACTTAAGGGAGGTTTTAGCAATTTATCTATAATTATAATCCAAATTAAGAAAGTGGTCAGACCGTCAGAACTTGCGTACAACATCAGCAATCCACTCACTCCCCTAAACCTGTACATTCTTGCTTCACCCAAATCTGTGTGTCTGTCATGAATCGCACTGAAAACCTTCAAAACTCTCAATAAAATCAAAATCAAAGTCAGCAAAACGCTCAGCAATATGTATGCTTCCGATGCCATCGCTATGCGTTCGGGAGCCTTGGAGCAATCCAACATCATTACTATGTTTGCCATAGAGAACTCACCCCGCGAATGTGTCCTACTTGTGGCAACGGATTTTTCACCGAAGCCGGATGTCTGGGCCATTGGAACTAACCAAAATCATTAAAACCAAGGTAAATTACTGGATTTTAAAATTTTAATTGCTTCATTTCTTCCTGGCTTACTAGAAAACCCAGTTTGAGCTTGATTGATCCTATCCTCTTGTTTTATCATTGACTTCGATGATGTTTATTCCTGGCTCATCTCTCTGATTAATGATTATTAGAACATTCCGCTTTTCCAACTCCCATAGTTTCCCACAGAGGTCCTCTTTAATTTGATGAAATGTCAATCAAAAGAGTTTAGGTTGTGCACTGCTGTAGTCTAATTAAGCATGTACAACAGTTAGAAATCATCCATTTCAGCAATCTTTACTTGTTACAGAAATCACGAATCCCTCGAGGTTCAACAGTAAGTTATAAATAATTGTATGGACATCTTTTTTTTTTTCAAACCAACACTGACACAAAACAAGCTGAACTCATTCTTTCCACATGGCGAGCGAGCTTCTCTTCTAGGGTTCTAGCTTTCCCAATCATACACGAAAGCAAAATTTATCAATTTGCTGCTTTGATCTTAGAACTTACAGAGTTAAGGAGATGATGGACCAGAATATGTTGTTGATAACACTGAAGCTGTGTCTTCTGTAAAAAGATGTGAAACACGTCGTTGTTTACCTAACATCCTTGGTCCCTGTGCCTTCTTACTTTGTTTTATGATGGATGTTCCTTGACTTGGAGTGTTGATGCAGCTTGATCCTAGCTGCTGAATCCCCATGGAAAGCCTCCTGTTCATGGGACTGGCACTGCCAAAACCTCCATTTGAGTTGCTGTTTGAAACACGTTGACTGCTTGTGCCAGGCCTAGTTACGAATAAATTCTCTTGTTCAATTACCACCTGGGTCTGCGCCCTCTTCATTTCCTGTAAAAGAAGCCCTCTCATTAAAAAACAAGCAATGATAGCGAAGAGGTCTAATGTGCATTTTGTTTCGTGACGAGATGGTAAATGGTAATGGCTTTTTTAAAAGATACAATAAAGATAATTTATTTCTAATTTGGGAATAAAATAGACCAAGAGAACAAATTGAGACCGATTATGCTTATTCAAATCAAATCTTGAACCTGCAATGTTTCTTATGAGTAGTAAGCGTACTCACCCTTTGTCTTTGTTTCTCCTCTTCTTTTTCCTGCCTTATCAAATTGTACTCTTCCAACATTGCCAAGAGAGGTACCTATAGAAAAAAGGAAGATTTTTTGTACAAAGAGTAAACTCTGGATGGTCTTATTATGATAGACTAACAAATCTAGTTAAACCCTATATAGTTGGGATAAGGCAAAGTTCTGAGGAACCAAAAAAAAAGCAGCTTTGCATTGATGTTCATCAAATGCCATTGTTTTCGGTAGCATGCACCTTCTATTATTCCATATTAACACATTATAAACCTACACTGAGTGTGTAACAGAAATCAGGTCCTAGAGTTTCTAAATGGCCATTTGGTAACAGCTGAAATGGCTGAACTGAATGACTTATTGCTTTGTATTGGTGAATAAGTTGTTAAGGTGGTTGTGACTGGATACAAACTTAACCTCCTAGGTTGTGACTGGATTAAAATATTTAATCCACTAAAAGACAAAGCAATAAGTCATTCAGTTCAGACACTTAAGCCATTATCAAATGCTCCTAGGTGGTTAGGTCCTAACTATTTGGGGTCTTGGGAGGGTTGGACTGGATACAAACTTAATCTCCAGTATGTTAGCATAAAATGGCCTCTCCCAGATTCAAAACCCTCACATTTAATCAGCTCAAAATGTTACCATCCTACTAAGCAATGAGCCTTTTTTTTTGTTTTGTTTTTTTTTTTTTTCCAGAAGCTGGGTAAAAAAAAAGAGTAGAATGTCTCACCTCATCATACAAGAACACTTTCTTCCTTTCCTCTTCCCAGGCCTTAGTCCTTTCTATCAGTGAATCCACTAAAGCTGCATTCATACCACATAGATGTCAATGCATAATTGCATATATGATCAGTCATCACCATTACAAACTTGTTTCATTGTAACCAATATAGGTATGGTTTTTCTAATAGAAAACTAGATGGACTTGACTTCAAACTTGGCACAAGAGCGGAAGCTTTTAATTTCTTTACAAGTAACTTGTTAGAAACTTGGGCTGCTTATTTATCATTTGTTCGTTCAATACTAAGAAATGATTTTCAACAATTTTTTATTGCTAATCCATTAACTTGCTTAACTGAAACAGAAGATGCCTGAGCCTGATATGTTCAAATGGACTTATCCAGTCCTTAGGGATTTCCTGTTGAATCTGAGTTTTTTGAACATTAGCCAGCTCCTTTTTCTCACCAGGGATTTTGCTGACTGTTATTCTGGCACGTTCTGCACGCTTCAGGTTCTTATGAGCACCTCTACTCACTGAGTACCGATTCTCATCCTGAAATCATGTGTGTTATAAATGAATTACACAAGCAGTTATGGGTAAAGCTAAAATAGTGTAGAATTTTTATTTATAAAAAAAATAGTGTAGAATTTTGGGTCTGGAGAAACTAACCCTGCTGTATTCTTCCAACCAACGCTCCTCATCACATGATAATATCCATTTCTCCACTTTTTCCATTATGGCCTTCCTACTAAAGGCCTCTTCTTTTGCCCTCAATATCTGTTCATCCATGCTAATGAGGAGATCGGCATGATCAATCTCCCCTTTAGTTATATGTAAGTCCATGTAGCACTAGTTCAAAATAAATAGAATACCCAAAAGGAAAATGATATGCAACTCGAAGGCAAAAGCACTTGATCTCACCAGAGTTTATAAGGCTCATTATATTATCCATCTCTGATTGCGAAAGTATCTCCATGTGTGATCTCTTGCATATCTCTTCAAGTTCATTCTGTTTCTTAAGGAAAAGCTCTTTCATTTTGATTGCCTTTAGCTGATCCAGTCTTTCAACTTCAGCCTCAGCCTAGAAAATTGACATACCTTGTCAAACCTTGTTTTAGTTATTTATACCTTGAGAACTGTTAATGGGTGATCTATTGACCTGCAGAATGATATCAACGGCAAGACTTCCCATATTGGAAATTTCATCGGCCGAAAAGGGCATAAGATTAATCACATGGGAAAATAGTCTGCGGTCTTCATAGGGTGTATCCATAAGACTCCACAGGTTTGTCAATGCCTTCCCAAGTTTGTGAAGCTGCAAAGATTGTAAAGATGGGTAAAATGCTCCTAGAAAACAGCAAATGTTATGGGTAATATATGAGGAAGATAATTTTAATTGTGCCTTCAGTATAGTATGTTTCTACTGTTTGATAGTAGTGCAGCAAGTATCATCTAATGGATTTGGTCTTCACTGGCACCTCTAATGAATTATTTTTTGTCTCTGACTTTGATGTTTCAACCTCAACTCTTAAATACCATTCTTAAAGAGAACATTTGTAGGGACATTTGATCTTTTGGCATGGTTAGAAAGTTGCCTTTTTTAGATAAATTATGGTTTGATGTACTAGGTAATTATTGCTGAGCCAATCTAGCTTGTGGACGGTCATTGTCTTTTGTACTCCGAAGGAACATTTTTTTGATCAAGAATGAAGTTTTCTCTGCAGACAAAATGCCCTCATTAACCACTAGATCTCCTGGAAAGTTGAAGCAAACTTAAAATTGAGTAGATAATCTGGAGTTGCTGAATGACTTGAAAATTTTTAAGCTTGTAGAACAATAGGCTGCTTTCCATACCCCAGCTTGAGGCATAATATCATATTTAAATTGGTTGGCCATATAAGTTGCATCTTAATTCTATCCGAAAGGACTAAAACTTATAAGGAAAAAAAGGAAAACATGAGATATTTCTTGCTTTGATCGTGGACTTGGTATTCTATGTCAAAACAGATCTAAATGCCTTGATTTGAATATGCTAGTCTGTTCGATTACCATTGCAGAAGCTAAACACCGTGCTTCTTTGACATAATTCGTTATGCCCAGTTTACTTTTGAGATTGGGTTCACATGTTATGTTGGGATTTGCAATAATTGCGCTTTTAAATTGAAGTATTGTAGGTGTAAAAATTTATTGTAGCTTTTCCTAATTTAGTTAGTCTATTAAAAATTTCCTCTTTTAAGTGGGTTGAATCTTATTAGAAAATAATTAGGAATTACAGATTTTAGTCATATTAGGAGCCTACATTTTCCACTCCAAGGAAACCAATATGTGGCATGCACAGAACCCCATTGTATCTATCAATAGGGGTTACATATTCTCCTTGACATTTCTATTCCGCTACTTTTCCCTTCATCCTAAACCATAATTTGCCACAATTTTCAAATTTCCCAACCCACCTTGCATCAGTTTATTTCCTGATTTCTAGCTGTTGACTGTAGACTAAATCTTTATTTCCAGTACTTGATCCTTGATCTAAGCTTCTGGATGTTTTGGTATTTCTGAACACCACATATTTTTTTTTTCTTCTCAAACCCCCAAATTCTGTAGCTTCCTCTAATCATGCAATCACCTAATGCATACCACATTTTTTGGTGTGTATCCATTGTTTAACATTAATTTCCTCTTTGTTATTCCTCTCGGTTTGTTCCCTACATAAGATTCCTGAATTTGAATTATCTTGACATTTTAAAAACAAAATGAAAGGAAGTTAGCCCTAAAATGTGAAGATTTTAGGGTCAAGGAAGTTGGTTTTCCTACAACCTCCCCCAACCATTTTCCTATTGTTAAAATTCTGTATATCTTCCTGTTGCTTAAAGCCTTAAACCTTGATTCTTATACCTGGAAACCATTTTTGAAGTTGCCTAATAGGGGTGGGTTTGAACCGAGCCGAGCCGAATATCTAGCTATTTGAGCTCCGCCTGGCACAAAAACATGAGGCTTGAGTTTGGGCCCGAGCTGGAGCTCGAGCTTGATTCGAACTAGAAACATGAGCTTGAATTCAACCCGACTAGAAAGCTCATATGACTTTGGCTCGGATCAAGCTTGATGGTGAGAAACTTCATATACAAAATAAAAAAGTATACATGTAAAAATTATACGCATTAAAAATTAAAAACAATTCATATAAAAGATTTTATATATAAAATTCATACATATAAAAATGATTTATTATTACATATAACATATTAAAGATATTATATATAATATAAGCTTTATTAGGCTCATGAACTGCTGATCTTCATTGGGCTTGAACTTGGTTCAAAGCTCGGTTTAGACCGAGCCGAATCAAGCTTTTTACGAGTCAAGCTCAAATAGCTCCTGAAAACCTCGGTTCATGTCACCTCTATGCCTAAGTACCATTGTTATATGTCATTCTGTTGGGTCTAATTGTCCAGATATGAGAAAAGGCATGGATGCTGAAAATTGATATATCTTACCCATTTTAAGCAGTTGGCAACATAAAACTGAGGAATATACCTGTTAAGTTTTTAATTAATTAATCAATTACTATTTTATGCATCACAGATGAACAAAGATTGAATTATAGGCTTATGCATCACACTAAATCTCAAGCTCCAGATCCTACTATTAGATAAGTTTGAACAGGGAGAAATACTAGTAAGAGTTACCTTCTCAAGCCTCTTTTGCTTTTCTTCTTCAAGAGCCTTTACAGTACTGTTCAGCCTAGCCAAAATGGTATCACTTATGTTTTTTGACTTCTGCCCACATGTGTCATCCAAGCTTGGATGGACCTTTGTGATGATCTCGGAGGAATCCATGCCCAAAGTCGCAGAAAGGTTGTGGATGGCACTTGTATAAGCTTCTACTTTTAGTAGCCTATCACTCTGAAATCCAGGAAAAAAAAAAGACAAGAAAGGACAAAACACACTTGTTACATTCTTGCATACCAGTCACTACATGGAAACCGTCCAAGGATTGCAATTTGTGTACCTTCTCCTTGTGGAGTTGTTGTAGCTCCACCTGGTACTCCTCAAGTTTCTTCAGAGAAAGGTCACTCTCATTCACAATGACATCGGACAGTGAAACATTGAGCTCTGAGTTACCTGCTATTTCTGCAGATATTTTCTGGATTTGCATCTGGACATCTTGGAACTGTTTCACTCTCTCTTCCTTCTTTAGCTGCATCTCCCTCAGGGCTGGGGTGATTGAATCCAACTGCTCTTTCAGTGTTCCCCCTGTTTTATCTGGCTGTTGTACAGAGAATATTCAGAAGTTAGAGCCCATGTTACCATGTACATATATGCATGGCTACTACTTCAGACTAGGAAAACGGCCTGCAATGTTTCCTCTATATTAGTGCTCCAGGTGGTAAAAGAGTCTCCACAAAAAACCTTCCAATCGGATGATCATATTCAATCAATCATTGAACTTTTTCTGAACATGGAGATCCTAGTGACAAGTGAAGCCCATTAAGATTTAAATGGCAGATCACAACATACTTTGGTCATGTATGCAGAAGAGCCAGTAGGATCCTGACTCTGGGTCTCTGGGATCTGCCCCTCATCGAGACATGAATCTTACTCTAAATGAGTCTTTTTTTTTTCTCTCTTCTGCAATATTGGCAAATTTATGTTTATCTATGAGTACTGCAATGCAATTCCACCTTGACAAAAAGAGGAAAAAAAATGGGAATGATCAGAATTTACTTCTTAATTGTTTACACTTTACAGAGATACACCACCTAGCATAAACTGACCCCAACTCTACAAAGCTTTAACCCCCACTATTTGAGATCGGCTTTATGTGTACTAAAAGGTGAGATGAATTAGCCTACCCGTCCAGGGTGAGATCGTTCTCCAAGGGACAGAAGAAGATGCGTGAATTCAGCCTCCGAATCTGCCAATGCTTGATGCAAACGTGCTCTAGACATATTTGCACTGTCAACTTTTCTCCTATAAATTTCCAGACACTCCTGTTCAAGTTCCATGAGGACCTTCTCTCTTTCAAACTCATCTTGTCCGACCTCATCCCAGATTAACTATTCCAAGTTATGCAGTGCAGTAAAAGAAGTGGAGATCAATAACAGAGTACGTATAACTCATTAAAGAAAGAATATACAAATAAATTAAACGAAAAGTCAATCTACCTGTAGTTCCTGGAGCAGATAGCCACACGAAGTCTCCAGGGATACAGAGCTTCGCAATTTTTCTGGCATGTGAAATGATCCCATTTGACAAGATTAAGCAATGATTTCTGAAACAGCTGCAGTCTGCTACCCTGGTTCTTCAAATCTTGGGGTCAGAGAGAAACTCCGATTTCTCAGAGTCAGAGAGTGAGACACTTGATAAGAAAAAAGGGTAGAGAGAAAACGTGGAGTAATTAAGCAGAAGAGACGGGCCATAAATGGTGGGAGCTTTGGATCTGAGTTTTCCCTTAAAAGACAAGACTGGCAAAAGGTAGGTGATGCTGAAGCTTTGGGTTCAAGGATCAGCCCTTCCATCTATCATTCTATCTCCAGGGGTCCTCGTTTCCCTCTCTAAATGTTTTGAATTTAAAAAAAGTAATGAAAGTTAACCACGTCTCTTTTTTTTTTTCTTTGCTAAAGTTAGATATTAAGCTAAGGTTTCATCAAATGTTCATTGATGATGATACTTATTAAGTGATACTTTTTAGCTGCAGGGACGTGATTCTGAAGCAACGTAAAAGAAAGATTGATAGTTGAATCTTGAATGTATACACAAACACAATACGAGTCTCTGTTCGATACTGTTCCATGAACAAGTAACACTTAACAGCTATGGGGTTCACAGTCTGGTTTGATTCGGTTTAGAGGATATCTCAAATCAAATAATTAAACTATAGTTAGAAATTCTCAGACTAAACCAAACCAGTACGATTTGGGCCATTCTATTGAAGTAGAGTTTTGAAAGTTTCAGTTTGTGGTTTGGTTTGATTTCTAAATTCAGAAAACCGATTCAAAATCGTAAACCGGAGTTTAAAATTATCCCAGACTAAACCGTTTCAAGGTCAAAATCAGACCAAACCATCAATTTTAGTTTGGTTTGATCGATTTAATGGTGTGGACCATGATGAATACCCCCTGGTAACAACCCATTTAATCTTCTCCAAGGAAGTAGATATCCCACGATTGATACAAGTACTCACCTTCCGTATCCAGCTCATACGAATGCTGAACCTCTCACCTAACAAATGATGGCTGCTCACTAGTGGGCCATAACCAAGAAATTGCGCCACTCAGCCTGGAGGTTGGATGACAACATCTAATATGTAAAGTACGCAATGGTTACCCAGTTGAACTGAACAAAGAGATTATTCTTCCTTCTTGCTTTTCTCTTGTCTTCTTTTTTAGATTAATTTTATTTTGAGTTGAGACTTCACCATGTATGGGTCTCCGTTGTCTCAATCTTCAATATAACATCCCACCTGATTCACCTTTAGAATATCACATTTTGTTTGAAGTAAGCAATTGTATTCATGTGTAGATCTCTTTTTCACATGTTCTTGTTGGTTTACATGACACCTTCAATGTCCAAATCAAGGATAAACAAATAAAGAAATAGAAAGAAACAACGATAAAACATTAAAACAAAGTTGGAAGAATATGCTTAGAGTGTCAAGGCCCAAAGATAAGGCAAAAGGTAGAGGGTTAACCAAGTGGCCTCTCATTGTTCCATAATCCATACATGTAATAATAGAAATAAAGCCCATTAGGAAAAAAAAAAAAACATAACAAAAAGCTCTAATAAGAAGAAAGGGAAAGAAGACTGGCATGTGCCCTTGCCGAGTGTCATGGAATCTTGGACTAATGCCATAGGCGAATCTATGTATATTATGTATATGTTAATATGGCAATTGCCCCTATTGAGATTTGAAAATTTTAATTATTTTACAATTGCCCCCCACTCAAATAAAATAGTACGGGTCAATTTATTCTTTTTTTGGTAATGATTAAGGGGTTAAATGAGTTAATGACACCCATGTCCTATGACCTACTTAAAAATCTGAAACTGAAATAACGAGAAGTAACTCTTATATCCTCATATTTCCAATATGACAACTGACAAGCATTACGCCATTACCTTTGAAAGCTAAAGAGGTCATTTGAGTCATTTATTATTTTTTACAAGTTATTAACATTTGGGCTTTAGAGTTTCAAGGCATGTAGGCATCGGTTTTGATACTATCTAAGCTATTTGTTATGAAGCTATTTACAAATTACAAGTTCCTTTATGTTATTACCCAAAAAAATGAAAGATATTAATCATAATTTTCCATTAAAAATTTCATTTGTTTTTGGAAAATGAACTTTTTATGTGGTCAGATATTTACATTCTTTATTTTATTATTGTATTTTTTTGGCTTTGTGTTTTCCAAATGAAATAATTTACTTTTATAAATTACAGTTCTTATTTAATAATTTCATTGATTACCTTTATTATTTTCCCTTTTGGAATTTGTTACAAGTTTTTCATATATTTGTACCTGCATTTCGTTGCATTTATTTAATATATTATCTATTTTTATGTTTCTAAATACACTATTTTTTATCTTTGCATTGATGAGATATTTAAAATTATTTTTACTTTTATAATTTACTTTTTAACGCTTGTTTCTCTTAGACAACTGATATTGTTAAGGACTTTGTTAATTTTGTAATTTTTTCAATTGTGGGATGTATCTGTTTCTCCTAAAATGTTTAAAGTGAAAATATTTTAATCTTTAAAACTTTTATTTAAATTACTCAAGTGATATGTCGATATTATGATAATACTTGCCCCCATAATCAAAGGTCATGGATCCGCCATTGATTTATGCTAAAGCCATTGCAAATGTAAAATTGATTAGTTCAGGTTTAGATCATCCGATTAGACTGCTTTTGAATTGAGAATGAAAGTCCGGCCCATTCCTTGGAAGTTAAAAACTACATCGCCATATCCAAGACTCCCACACTGGAGATCCGATCACCAAGGCAACGAATGACAAAGAGACACCTCTCAAGTTTTAAGAAATCACACATAGATTTCTAGTCTAGGCACAATCTATGACGCGTTCACTGCACTGTGCAACAAAAGACGATATTGGTTGAACGTGATGGTAATCAACTAAATATGAACCATATTTAGTTAGTTATTTAATGGCATAAGAACCAACTTAGTTATTTAATGGCATAAAGAAAAATGATGCAGCCTGCCTACATCAGAATAAGAACCATATTACAAATCAACTTAGTCCATGATTTGCATCAGGATCACTGATTTCTTTTATCCAAATTAAAACTTAGTTTCTCAAGGTAGGTGGACTGTCCAAGTCTATCAAGTCTAAATCTAGTTGACTGGTTCTGCAGAACCGGTTTACTCTGAATTTCTGCACTTGCACTCTGTGTTACAAGCAAGGTTCGAAATTTCGATATGTATTGGGTTGTATCGGGGGCTTCTCGATATGCCCCTACATGGGGTGTTTTGGGGTTTAACCCGGTTCAGGGGGTAGACAGGCCTTAAACCGACCCAAGAAACCTTGCATATGGGCAAGGCTTACTACTTGGCAATATCAACGAGTAAACTAATGGAAGGCAACAGTTCTTTACCTGGTTCACATTTTGGTTTGGTGTGCAGAATGGCAGTTTGCAGTTAACAAAGGCTTCACCAAAACTGGAAGACGTTCAATGACAGTTTCCTCTGAGAATGATCATATATAATTCAATAGTTCATTTAACAATGCAAAAAGTATACATGGATGTGCTTTCATCATAGCATACACTTTTAGCAAAAATGGTCATTCTTGAAGCATATTCCAGGCAAAAGATGCCTATGAAGACCTAGCATGACACAATCTTCCTTTCACAAAAGAAGGGTATGAGACGTTTTTTTGCCACATGGATCATTGGCCAATGTGTTGTGTGCCAGATGGGAATTTTGACCGTTGGCAGCCAAATGCTAGTCATGTTATAGACATTTCTCTAGGATACTCAATAGCCAATCAAGTACCTGTTACCGGCAATTTTGTATGCTGGGTGCTAGGAAACTCCAATTATATCACAATCATTATCAATCAACCATTTCAACATCCAAATTTTCATTTCCTAGGTCAGAAAAAGAACTGACTGATTCAATAAGGTCACCAAATCTAAGAGGAGAATGTCGAGCAGCATACTGGAATAGGACCTGTAAGTATACCAAATAGTTAATTAACCAAGGAGGAGAAAATAAATCTTTCTAGCTTTTAAACAAGGTCAATTTTCTATGCTTGCAAGCTCTATTTTTACTATTCTCTGCTATTATAATGTGAAAATCTACTAAAGCTTCACTCCAAGGTCACACCCGTATAAATAGACTTCAAGGAGTGCCAAAAACTGCCATTTTTTGTTGTTCCTTGTCCATCCAACCATACTGGGAACTGTCTGAGATAGTTTTGGTCATTTATACAGAGACTGATAACACCAGTGAGGTCCTACTTGAAGCAAGTTGATAAAAGGGAAGAGGAAGTGCAGAAAGGATACTAGTTAGTGGCAAGAAAAGATCAGTAAACTTACAGCACAACAAGTTAAGTGTCTTTAAGATGGACTGAAATGGAAGAACAGGATTCATGCAAATTGGGAAGCCTATATGGAACATACTTTAGGCATATATGCTGCAGTATAGAAGCATTTATGGTTGACAGTTGGCACTTTTCATGGCACAGAATTTGATACAACAAGATAGTAGAGGACTAGAGGTAAATGCTCAATGATCTCAAGTTGTTTGAGACATAAGTGTATCCAGGCATAAGGCATACCACAAGATGGATCCTAGCGACAGCATACAACTACAATTTCACCTTGTATTACTAATTGAGAGCAATTGAAAAGGAACCACTTGAAATCACATAACTACTAACCTTAGAGTAACTATCTGCAAAAGCACGTGCACGGTTGGCCTTGCCAATATAATGTATGTTGGCCATCTCAAGCTTTCCATCTACAAATCTCATGCCTTCATCACTAACCGCAAAACGCACAAAACTTCCCGGTCGCAATCCTGACTGAAATTTTAAATTGGAGAATCTTCAAGTTCTAAATATTAAGTAGGAATACTGGACAACCAAACAAATCTGAGAAGAAAATAATTTATTTAATCATTCAAAATGTATTGAACATTCTCTGTATGTTTGAGGGATGTGACTATTTGACCCCATACAGCTAAATTATGAATATTAGTCAACCCATTCAATCAGGTCACTTCAGACAGCAGACCACTTTAGATGGGTCACTTCATACCTCACACCATGGTATCAAATAATATGTTGTAACTTTCATATTTCATACTTCCATTTTCATAGATATAGAAACACAAAATGCTACATATGTATACACAAGAATTATTATTATTATTTTTATTTTTAATTAACAATTACAGAAAAAGTGAACCATTTTAATAAACAATTCTGTCATCATTTGTAAATCAGGAATATAATGGGAGACTCATTGGTTCATGAAACAATTATTAGGCATTATGATTAATGCATTGATTATGTTTATATTTTTTTTTAAATCAAATTTTAGTAGTAACTTCTACTAAGGGTGGAATTTATCAAAAAAAAAAAAAAAACTTCTACTAAGGATGGAGATAGTGACTTTAAACTGCATTGTAAGTCCACATAAGGTTGACCGGCTAAGTAAACACAGTGCACTATTTGCATTTGCATGCCTTTTTAGTTTCCTTTTATCTTTTCCAACCAGATTGATGTAAATATCAGTTGGTATGTAACTTTGACATTTAAAATCATGGAGATGTACCACTATGTATGGTTCTTCATTTTCTCATTATGAAGAGCTGTAAATGGAATGCAAATAATTTCCAAGTTTTCATGTTTACTTTATCAATTGCTCAAATGTTAGTGCATGCTTCCTATTGTTGCCTAATGATTAATAAGTTTCTGAAATTTATTTAAAATTTCCTACTGTTGTTTTGGTGACATGATGCGTTTTGCATTCTGTTGAGGCCAAGATATACATTATATAGCATCTAAAACCTTAACTTGTGCTGATCTAAATTCTAAAACCATAGTGGTTGTCCTCTTATTTTCTGCATTCAAGTTCAAATTTGTAACTTCACACCTTCCAGTCATTTAAAATTGTTTTTTGGTCTTCTTATTGCAGGCAATGACTGAATTAGATTTTGAGTTTTATATTAAGCCCCTCAATTGGTGAATGAAGTGATTCTAGTGAATTTTCTCATTCTTTCACTCTTTCTCTCTCTTTCTTACCATTACCACTATATTATTGCTTTTGGATGCAAACTGGTGCTTCCAAAGTGTATCAATGTACATGTTTTGGACTGATTATTCATCAGAGAAAGTAACTTTCTGACATAATTTCAGATTTTCCTTCAGTTAGAGAAACCTTCTAGGAAAAAGTTATTTTAAAAACTATTGAAAACTTTAATAGTATACTTTCTAGATGAAATCACACCATATAATTATTAATACTCCTCAATCCCTTCAAGTCAACTGACCAAAATCCAAACATTTGCTTAGTTGTAGTACTTTTACCCTTCTTTTTTTTTTTTCTAGAAAATTCACATTTTAGTAGTGATTTCCACTTAATTTCTTTAATTTCAACTTCAACCACGTTAATCCACTCAAGTCAAACCATAGGCAGCAGCCACACCTATTGTAACCAATGTTTTAAAACACGGAGGCGTGACACGAGGCGTTCCACTACCTAGAGGCGTGAGGCGTAATTCAGAACGCAAGAGGCATAAGCCTCCCGAACACAAGGAGGCGTAAGCCTTCTTAAGAGGAGGGGGGTTAGGAGGAGGATGAAGAGGAAGGAGGGATCTCATTTTTAATAAAAATCTTTTATATTAAGAAGAATAAAGATGCATAATAGTAGTTCAAAGGGGGGGTCTTGTCGAAGAGAAGGCGAGCGAGCGAAGCGAGCTCAAAGCCCCCCAGCCGAAGGGGCAAGGGGAAAACCATTTTCTTTCCCCTTATTTTTTCTTCCCTTCCCTTTTCTTTCCTTTTCTCTTTTTTTCTTCTCTTTCCTTTCCTTTTCTTTCCCTTTCTTTTCTTTTCTTTTCCTTTCCTTTCCTTTTTTTTCTTTTTTCTTTTTTTTTTTCAAGTATTTTCATATCAGGTGTGCATGAGGCGCAAGAGGCGTATGCCTCTAGCATGCATCATGAAAAAAGCGCAAGAGGCATACGCCTCAGAGGTATCAGCGCCTCGCCTGGAGGCGTGCCTCCCACGCCTCCCACACCTTAACACTGATTGTAACTTATACCAATCAAAACCCTAACCTTTGAAGCCCTTCATGAAGATTTGGTTGCTATCAGTCCTACAGAACAAATTCTCTTTTTAATCATAAATTGCAGAACTGTTAGTTTTCTTGTTGTTATCAAATTAACCATATAATCATAAAGCCTCTGGAATCCCTTCAAGTCATTTGATCAAAATTCCCAATATTTCCTTAGTTCTAGCACTTTTATGGTTTTACCCTTTTATTTTTTACTTAAAATTTCTCCTTATTTCGAATCTCAACCATATTAATCTGCTCAAGTCCATTTATACACATAAGCCACACCTATCTTAACCTATTGCATTAGGTTTTGCTTGCTTTACCAGGTCTATATCAAATTCTTTTTTTCAATCATAAATTGCATAACTGTTTATTTTCTGGTTAATGTCAAACTAAAAATTGGGCAGCTCTATTCCTCGAAGAGGTTTTACCTATTGTATAACATGAACTTTGTGGAAACAGCAGGTTGCAGGTTGCAAAGACTCAAGCTAAAAGCACATGGAAACTTTTTATTCAATTCTTTATTGGAAATTATCGATACATTGTTCATCTAGCTTAACATTCATAGTTTAAAAGAGAGGTATCAGGTTGCAAAACTGAACCTGATACCCAGATTGGAAAACAACTAAGAATTCATTCCAAAAGATAGAAAGAAAGTACCTTCTGCACAAAATCTCCATCCAAGCACCCAAAGACAACAGGAGGATCATCTGATGTAGTTAATCTACCATCCTCTTGCAGATCAAGGACAACCTATAATCATGCAAACTCAAAGCTAACTCATTGCACAAATGGTTAACAACCCAAAGACATGCTTGGTCAACAAGAATAGGACAAATAGAACTTATCCCAGCAAGGGGGGTTAAGGAAATGAAATATAAAATCAATTTCATGAGAAAATTTTAAGTTCTCTCTCTCTCTCTCTACAATATCCAATGAAGATCTGATGCTATGGAGAGCCTACAGCTAAATAGTGTTTCCAGGTAAGATCCCCTTTTTCTTTTTCTTGCAGCAGGCTGTTCTTTCTTTTTCTTCCTCACTACCTTGTTTGTTGCATAATCACTAATCTCTCTTTATTTATAATATGTAGCAGAAACCACCATTTCTCATGGGCTTTAATATAACAATACAACAAAAAGGGTATTTTTTTGTAAACTTTCTAGTCTTTTTTCTAAAAGATTCTGCTTTTATTTTTAGGATATTAGTTGAGTGGCTTGTGCATTTACATTTATGAGAGAAGTAAGTGAATAAAATATCAGGATGGTTACCAATACTGACATGAATCCCAAGGAAATATCAGCATTATATAAGTATATAACAAAAATGTCAATAGTTCGTTAAAAATATTAAAGGGGAAAATAACATTTTGTTTATGTTGGCTGACATAAATTGCTCCCCAAGCATTACAACATGAGTCACTTGTAAGTCAGTTTGAAATGAATGCGGTCCTTAACATAATTCATAATGGATTACTGGTGTTATATAACAATATTCCATATAAAGACTGAAAATAGTGTCTAAATAGGCGCTTAGTGAATTGTGATGCAGGACACAACAAAAATTCCATAAAGGATGCATGGAATCAACATGTCAGTTCTGCATGGAAACATTTAACACATTTTCCATATCTTTATATGAGTTGCATAATTCCATTGAAATTACAAGGTCAATGAGTAATGCAACAAAGGGATACCTGTTGCTGGGTTGGAACTTGTCCATTACTGTCTGTATCAAGGACATATTGACTACAGTTTTCATCCTTCCAGACTAATGCCAGTGGTGTGTTTCCAGTCTGGTAATGAGCATGCCTAGAGAAACAAGCAATGCAAACAACATTAAGAAGATATAGAAATCATTAAAAAGAAAAACCAATTAACTTGATACTCAGTGAGCTACCATGTGAGGAAGAGAACAGTTTCCATGAGCCAAAAAACCCATACTGGTTGGACTGTGTCAACATAACCATGTACAGCAATATGGCTTAAGTTAAAAGAGACCAAGCATTGTGGCAGGGAAGCCAGGCAATTATGAAATAACAGATTAATAATGGCTACTTAGTGCATCCATAAAGTTTCTTACTCAAGGTAAAAGTTAAACCTCTAAAAGAAGTTATATGATGACATATTGACACAAATTGGAGGGCATACACTTATGCAACTATATGGATTGAAAATCTTTCAAATGCACTACAAATCCAGGAAAGAGGGGAGAAGGGTCTTACTTGTTGTAGAACAAAAGCCCATCTTTCACATACGGCACAACGCCTGTGTATGCTGTGTGTAAACCAATTTGGTTACACTCATAGATGGGAACCAAACTAAATCTGTACTTATGATATAAGGAAGGAGGGTCACAAGCTCCTGTCTCTGCAAGCTTGGAGTTCAACCAAAAGAATCTGAACTCAGCACTGCAGTCATAAAGTGAGTATCCTCGCCAGCAAACCATGTCAATCACATAGTAAGTCTGATCCGGCTGCAAGTGACCATTGCCAATAATAAAATTAACTGGGCTATAGACAAACATGGATGCAAAACCTTCTATCTAAAAGAGATGGCAAAAGATCTCACCTCATGAAAAATGCAATCGAGGATACAAAATGAGTGAGCAGGACCAGAGATGTCTCTTGTCCTGGCTCCATTCGGCAAAGCAGATGGGAAATGATGCAAGATGGAGCCATTCCGAAGCCTACTGACCGTTGTTCCATTGGAAGAAACCACAAAGCATCGTTTCCCAGAAGGTCTTGCAAAAACATACCTAGCAAAGCACAACTCATTAACAAGTTGCTTTCGGGTAAGAGTTAATTTAAACATATTAAATACAGCTCAATATTATCTCATCATATAACCTTATTGTAAATGCCACAAATCGGCTATTTTCTTCTCCTAGTAACTTCAAACAATTTATTAACAACAAGGAAGCCTCCAAAGCCCGTAAATTCAAAGTTCAGCAGCTATTAACTTTTAGTTAGTACTTCCTTCAACAAAAAGTAACTTCAACTCTTGCCCTATTACCCAATTCTAAATTCTAACAATTTCGTAAGAATACTCGAACTCCCTATTATTAAAGAGAGAAGTAAAAAATTTCCAACACGAACATCAAAATATCTAGTCCAACTATCTAAATAATTCACTAAACACTGATTCAAATACTTAAGTATGACACCATTGATAAATCGAAGACAATAAAACAGGAGGAAAGTCAAAGAGGATAAAACAAAATGAAAGAGGAGAATCAAACCAATCGGTATTTAATCGAGGGGGGACGTCGATCATCCACTCAGGGAGCATGAGCTGTCGCGCGAACCATTTACGAGCTTCGGAGCCTTTAAGTTTCGAGGCCTGAAGAATGTCGAGATCCTTCGAGAGAGTTTCCTGTTCGGATTCCACCGTTTCGGATTCAGGTCCCAATTCGGCTTCTGGTTCAGTATTCTGGTTTTGAAGGGAAAGGACAGACGATGCTAAGTGGCGGGCCTGGTGCTGAGAGTCCCGCCGATTCTGTGCCTGACGAAGCAGCGCAAGCTCTCGGCGTTTCTGCTGATCTGAGATGGCCGGGCGTTTGAACGGACGGCGGAGATCGCGGGGCGGCATCCTGGTGTTTTAATGCACCCACTGTTTACCCTCGCTTCAGACGCGCCCTTCTTTTCTGTAGTAAACCCTAGCTGATGGCTTGAATTTTGAAAATCAAAATGACACACATCACACAATCTTTCGGTTTTCCTCTCCACTCCAGTCTCCGCAGGGCGCAAAAGTTCTATTTGAATCGAGTCAGTTGGGACTTGGGAGACGAGGAATAAGGGGAAGAAGATGGAGTATAAAAGTAGAGCCATATTTACAATAATGTCCTTTCTTATGAACAAATTCACTTACAAACCCCTCGATCAGAATAAAGTAAAATAATGATCCTTGTCCTATCAATATTGGAGACCTCTCTCTGCGACTCTGCCCCCCCTCCTCCCCTCTCTCTCTCTCTGAGGCTCTGAGTTTGTAGAGCTTAGAAAGACTCCATTTTCCTCTTGTAGCTAGGACGTCAATCGATTAGAATCAGAGGAAACTGAAAAACAATCAATAGTTCTTGCAAAAAATGGATCATTCGTTATGGGAGCATTTACCGCTATTGTTGAGGTCGAACTCTAAAGAATCGGTCGAGTACATTCTACAGAGTCTATGGAGAACTCGGAAGACTGGTCTCGACCCCGCCGAGCGCCATATCATCGGAGAAATACTCCAACTTCCAAATGACAGTGACCTCGACCCCGTAAGTTCTCTTCAATTCTTTCACTTCCCCAAGGACCCCCAACTTCTCTGTCTGTGTGTGCTTTGAAAGTGCTCACTCTTTAAGTGGTAGTAATCATGGACAAACTTTTTTTTTGGTAAGTAAAGGATTTCATTAACCAGAAGAAAACAACAAGACTACAACCCAAATAACAAGCGCACTCAACACACACACACAAGCAACACCATAACACACAAAAACTAAAACCCACACTACACCAGGAACGGAACAGGAACACAGACAAACTACGCAACAACTAAACTCTTAATCAGAGAAAAAAATCCACTACAGGGGATGATTAAATCTTCTATCCCCAGCTTCTTCAAGGTCCGAATACAGAAACTCATTTAACCAAGCCGAGGATTGCAGCCATAAAGCTTCCTGATTGCATGCACCCCTCTTTGCAAACTCATGAGTAACTTTCTTGCCATCCTTGCAGAGGAAAATTCACATGAGATAACTTGAAAATGTCAATAAAGGTAGGCCAGTTCCATGGGAGGCAATTCACAAACTCCTCCCTTCATTTCTCAATCATATCAGATTTGATCTCAACTCAGGTAACAAAATCAAATTCTGGGAAGATATTTGGGTGGGTGACTCTTCTTTAAAAACCTTTTCCCTTCAATTTTTGCTCTCTCCTCCCTCAAAGGTAGGCCGGTTGCTGACTTCCTTGCTCCTTGTCCATCCCTGTCTGGTCTTGCCTGGAATCTGGGACTTTGCAGAAATGTTAGGGACTCAGAATTGGGCTCATTGTCCTCTCTACTCCAGCTGCTCGATGAGGTGTTTCTAGACACTTCTAAACAAGACACTAGACTTTTGGGCTCTTCATCCTTCCGGAGTTTTCAGCTGTGCCTCCTTTTTCAAGTCCTTGTCTTCTCCTGCCCAACCTGGGGTACCTTTCCCTGTACATACAAGAAGTTTGGTGTCGATCTATCCCCCACAAGTGGGTGCCTTTTGTTTGGAGGTCTATCATAGTGCAATTAACACTAGTGATCTGATGCAGAGGAAAGACCTGGTTGGTGCCTTTCACCAAATTGGTGCTGTTTATGTAAATCAAATGGTGAGAATGCCTTTCATATTCTTGTCTCCTGTTCTCTTGCTAGTAGTATTTGGGGTTGGTTCTTCTTCCTATTTGTATGCAGGTGGGACGCCCTGGTAAGCCTGGAGAGATTGTTTGAGCCATCTACTTTTAGATGGCCAGAGCGAAGAGGGAGAATACTGTGGAGGTGCACAAGGGCAGCAGTGCTACACTGCTATGGGTACTATGGGAGGAAAGAAATCTGAGAATATTTGAAGACAAGAAAAGATGCAAGGAAGAACTGATAGAAAGTATCATGATAAAGGTGACTTCATGGGTGAAAACACTGAATTTATTTTCAAAATTTACAGTGGATGATATAATTAGGAATTGGAGGACAGTTGCTTCCTCTTTTTTTTTTTTTTTTTGATAATTACAGTTGCTTTCTCTTCATCGGTAAAAAAGAATGTCTTGAAGGATTGGGAACCCCCTGAACCAGGTTTTATCAAATTAAACTTTGATGGCAGCAGTTTTGGTAACCCAGGAAGATCTGGAATTGGAGGGATTATAAGAAATGAAAGAGGAATTGTGTTGGGGCTGTTTTCGGGTCCCATTGGAATTAGAAATTTCACTACAGCTGAACTGAAGGCAATGATATATGGGATACAAAAAGCTAAGGAGCTGGGGGTGGCTGGTTGTGGAAGGTGATTCCAAAGTGATCATCAGTTGGCTAAAAAAAAATGACAGCACACCCTGGTTATTTAGAAATGACATCAAGAAGATTAAAAGCCTATCCAAGGACCTGCAGCTATCAATTCAGTGGAGCCCTAGAGCAGCAAATGGATTTGCAGACCAGCTAGCCAAACAAGGGGTAAACAGGGATCATTGTTTCTGGGCTCAGCTGTAAGAATGAAAAATCAATCTAATAGTGGATACGTTAAATTGTAGTGGGGTAACTGAGGCTACTCGTAACCTGTAACCTCTGTAATTTCTCTTTACATTAATGGGATTTCTTTTTATTGATAAAAAGTGTCAATAAAGGCCAGACATTTGTAACTGCATCAAAAGGTTGATTAGAGATGGGATTAACAGAAGATTGTGAATGAGTGAATCACTTTCTATAACCAAGTTTCAGAAGCCAAGCTATAATACATCCTTCCCTTATGGCAAAAAATTCAGCATAATCAGCAGAAGAAGCACAATAGGGACCATATTTTTCCAACATAAAAGACCTATTTGAATCCCTGAAAACAACACCAAAACCACCAACACCATTCTTAATGAAACTTCCATTCATATTTGCTTTTACAAGACCATACCCTGGCCTTTGCCAAAAAACAGTTCCATATTGCATATTTGCTCTGCTACCCCTAAATCACAGAAGTTTGAGATTTTGCCTCTGCCCCACCTACCCGAACCAGAATCAATAAGTTCTTTAACCCATTTTAAGTCATTTGGGTTAACCCTAGGACCATAAGGTTTCAAGTTTGGCATTTTTTTCAATACAAGGGTCATTTTTTTTGATAGGTTTCAATCCAAGGGTCATCCTAAATACTAATTTGATCACCTTTTGTTGCTTGCAACAAGCCCCACTTCAAAGGACATCCCTCCCTCCTAGTAAACTCCTGAAGCCCAAATGAGCATTTCTTGGGAGTTTGAAGAGACCAAAAGCTCATACTCTTTAAGTACCTCCCTTCAATTAGGTTAGGCCACAGACTGCCTTGGTTAGTACAAAATCTCCAAGCAAGTTTTGCCAAGAAAGTTTTGTTGAAAGCTTGGGGGAAAGCCCAATGGTTTTCTATATACAAAAATATCCGGATGCAAGTGTAAGCACTGGTTATAATTCTATTCTCAAAAGTATAGGCCAGATAATTGTTAGGGAAGATTTTCTTGTTTCGGTAAACCAAATGTAGCGTTGGAATTCAAGAAAAACTAGAAAACCAAATGTAGCATTGGAATTCTTTTCAACTATTCACGTAGAATCAAGTTCCCTTTTATTAGCTTCTCAAAGTTGAAGAGGCCAGTGGACATTTGATTAAAATCATGAATTGTATTAAATCGACTTGAAATTGTATAATCATTTGATTGAGTGAACTCTTAGTAGTTTCTAAACCAAGCATAAAAAAGGCAATTACATTGATGTAGAATACTAACTGTTTTACTAAAGTTTGACTACATGATTTTTCCGTTGTCGGTTTCTTTAATGTTGTCACTACATATCTTTTTCAACGATACTTAGTTGTATTCTATTTGCAATCAATTCCATTTGGAATCCTACTTATCTCGCTTTTTATGCTATACAGCTTTTGGTATGCCTCCGTGTATTGATCCGGAGGTGTGCTTATGAAAATGTTAATAAGGATGAGATTCAAAAACTCTTTCCTCCTGAGGTCTCACCTGAACTACAAAGACTTCTAATACTTTTGCTGCAAAAGTTTCAAAGGGAGTGGAGGGATGATGCACTCAAGGATCAGGTATAGGATTTCAGTTACTGTATCTGTTTAGAGTAGTGTAGTTCATTAATGATGAATAGTTGGTATCCAGTTTTTCTTTTCTAATAAATTTGTCTTGTTACTTATAAAAAAAATAATGATGAATAGTTGGGGTGTCCGATTCATCCTGCCACTGCCAACGCCATAGGTGGTGAGCATGCACATATTGGCTCTGCCCAGGTGATATTTGGAGCCAAGAGTCAAGTAAATGGATGGTCTAACTCAGTCATATCATTTTTACTGTTTGACCTATACTTTTTCTCTAAGAACAGTCATCCTTATGTTTTCTGACCATCAAAGCTACTGGATGGATGGGGCAGTTGGGATCATTGCATTGTGTCAGATATTGGTGGAGGTGCTTTGCTAGTGGAATCCAATAATTTCTTTAGTGCTACACCTGTAGCCTCTTCCTAATGTGCACCATATGCATGGCAGAGTTGGGTGGGTTTGGAGAATATGAATGATGTATTTTCTCTTGTTGAATAAAATGAGATTTAATAATAAGTTTTTTTTTTATATTCGAGATTTAATAATATATTGAGTGGCTCAACCCAATTCTTTCATTGCATTTGATCATTTTACTCCTTTAACTATCTCTGTTTTTTTCTTTTTTTTGATAATTGAACCTTTAACAATCTCTGTTCATCAACGATCATTTTGCCCATATTGATCAACCAACACATCATTGCCTAAAATACAAGATCAATCAACACATGTTACAGGATAAGCAGATAGGATAAACTGAAGTCAAAGAATTTGTTTTTGTAACTTATCATAGCAACATTAACCAATTTGGAGAAACATGATATCTAATCAAGAATATGTTTCTATATCAAATTTCCAGGTTACTATACCACGTTTGAAGGCAATGACATGGAATATGGCAAATCAAGACATAGAATTGACTGACCCTGTTGCTGTTATTAATTTGAAGGTATTGTTGCAAGGAATTTCCTATGAGTTCTATTTGCTTCTGGTCTAATCCTTTTCTGCCAGTTTAGGAAAGTAAAGACTGAAAATTGGAAGTTTGGAACTCCTTTCCAAGAAGTTATGTGATTTATTATGCCCATTAACATGACTTTTTCTGCAGCTTCAGGATGATACACAGTCTCTCCAAGGAGAATCAGATGTGAAGTTCCAATTGACAAAAGATACTCTAGAAACAATGTTGAGGTCAATGTACTATATAAGAGACCAGTTATCTGGCATGGTAAGCGTTATTCTTGTCATTTGCTGATGAGCACATGATTTGAATGGTATGCTATACTCAATGGACAAAACTTGTATTGCCAGGAGGAGAATTCAAATGGACATCTTCAAGCCCATGAAACTAGTACGGTATAGTCCATAGGGATTCTTCAACTAGAAGGGTATGTGTCTAGTCACAGAATTAGCTAATGAACACAGATTTCATTATCTAAGAGATCCATCAAGCTAACAGTGGAACACTGAATCATCTAAATGTGTGGACAGTCAGAGGTTGCAAGTTCTGGTGATGCATTTTATAGTGCTAAAAATAGATTAGTAATGTATCACTCAATTCTTTCTGTGACGTCTGGAATAGTTTATCATTCACAAGTTTGCAAATTTTGATGATACTTTTTCCTGGTTTCTAAACTATCAATGCTTAGCACTTCAACTGTGCAGCTCCACTGGCATGTGCTATTTTCTTGTTGATCAAGTTAGTAATACCACTTGACTTCTCCATTCTCATATGACAATTTGGACACCATACAACTGCATTTTCTTTTATGATTTATAATGATATTCTATTCCTTGAGGAATTGCAATTAGCTGGATGCTTATTTGGTTAATTTAACTGTTATGTATTTCAGCCAAGGGCATAGAATGTTGGTTTTTTTTTTTTACATTTTAACTTTTAAGGAAACAATGAATAGAATGATGAAATTGTAGGTAAAGGAAGCAAGTAACAAGTGCTTGTTCACAGTGAAAACACAGAAACTGAAACGTTTCTTTATTCAGCCAAGTTTCTAAAAGCAAGGAAAAAGGATCTTGTCTTGGGGGAGGGGATGCTGAAATTGTTAAAAAAGGACCAAGACTGGATCTACCACATAATTTATTGAACAACCAGGCATAAAACCAAAACCCCACCACACCTACGTCTCTCTTTTATCCTTCTCCAACATATTACTTACTTTTCAGGCCTTGTTTGGATGCCAAATGAAAAGATTCCACAATGGACATTTTGGAGCACCGAGCACAACTTCACCAAGAAAGTGAATCAACTGTAGTTAAAAAGAAACATTGGGATACAGTGAATTATATATCCCAATGTTATATTTCTTGACAGCATGAAATAAATCCAATTCTGGAAACCTTGGCATGTGTGAGAGTGCTATATGAAACTGAAATGAAATGTGCCCCCTTCATGTGGCGTCTGTCCAAGCAGTGCTTCAATGTTTACACTTTCACTATGCAGTTTCTCCGGACACTTTCATTATGCTAAAAGATGATTTGCAGAAGTAAAACTAAGAAAACCAAGCAATGAAGTTCCACTTCTGGTCTGTTCCCATCCGAAGGTACGCGGAGAAGAACAATGTTATCAACCACAGGACCGCATGGAACAAGATCTCTGCTCCGATTCTCGTTGAAGCTAACAAAGCTGATCGAAGCTGGATTTGTATCCGTCTTGAATGTCATGGAACAATTCTGGGTTGAGCCGGTCCCGTTGCTCCGCATTGTGAAGTTCTGAACAGTATTTCCTACTTGGGCCCATACAATCAAGTTTCCAATGAATTCCAGGCTATAAGTAGACCCTAGTTCCAGAGGGAGACTCGTTTCGATCCCGTAAGGAGCACCAGAAACAATCTCGATTGCGGCATTCCCTTCTGGAACTGAATAATGTTCAGAGTTTAAATATTTGACCCTTCCTATCACGAACCAGTCATGTAGCACGGAATGTGTCACCTGGATTTTCATCAAGGAGAATACCCTCCGTGGAGTTTCGCAGGAAAGCTGAACCTGCTTCGAATCCGCTGTTCCATATGAGACTATCTGTAATTTGATCCATCGGATCTGATTGTACGATTAAATGAATGCTACAAAGAATTTATGTCATTGTTACATTGTTCCAAGACTGACCCAGACGAACTCGAGATTAAGGTAATGTTTGGCATCGATGCTGATTCTTCTTTATTAATTTTTTAAAAATCAGTAAATTTTGTTATTTGGTATCATTTCTGTCATGTAAGCTGATTTATAAAGAATTGGCCGAGTCTGGTACCGATTCTCAAGGGCCGATTATTTTTATACTAGAGTTATTATTTAATGCCATGTTGGAGGCCATATCATCCTCAAAAAATCGAAATCAACTAGAAATCAGGAAATCATAAAAAAAAAAGAGTAATCCCTGAAAAAGGCTGATTTCAAGAATTGATTTTTAGCAGATTTCTTAAAAATAACCAAAATAGGCCAACCAAACAGACATTTCAATTTTCAAGCGGATTCCTCTAATGCTGATGTGGCCCCGGCGTGGCAGTGATTTTCAAGAAATCATCATCGATCCAAATATCACCCAAGCTCGAATTCCACATATCCTATTAAATGAACAGTTGGTATGACCGCCAGTGAAGGAGAGAATGAGAACTACGTACCTCCGTATGATCCCGGCATCCCTAACCTCTTGAGAAGAAACGTATCAACCACAGGCCCGCAGGCGTTATCAGAGTCCCAATCAGTTGGTTGGCTTCGAATCACTAGGTTGACAAGTTCGTCATCGTCACGGCCACCCCACCCCCCTAAATGGAGACTATGGCTTTCCCAAGTCTCCGTTCCATATCGTTTCTCCAAGGTGAACAGTCTCGACACACCAGGCACAGAAATATTGACAGCGACTGTGGTGGAGATAGAACAATTCTGGCCTAGTCCTGGAGCAAGGGTGATTGTGAGAACATAGTAATCGTAGTCCTCCTTGGTTGCTCTAAATGTCTGACTGATCTTGCCATGAGGACCCAACTGTATTGCGTGACCATTCCCCGGTAACGACATATTGGGGCCGGCCATTACATACCGGACTGTACCTTCGAAGGTCCAGCCAGGAATGCTGTTGGTTTCAGTTAAGAGCATGAAAGGAGTGGTGGGGTGGGCAGTAATATTGCGCGGTGAAGATTCAAAGTCTGCATTCTGAAGTAGATCTGCAAAAGATGGTAGTTTAATTAGTTGGCCGCAGCTTCAATTTTTTATGGGAACTTCAGAGACTAGATAGTATTTTCCCAGCCTTCTTGTTTCTAAATTCTAATAGCCTGAGAATTGCTACCAAAAAAGAAAACAGTAGGAAGTGGGCTATTGGGGACTTACCAGCTGCATATGCCACTACTGCAAGGAGTGGGAGAAAGAACTATTGCTAGCTTCATGGTTTGCTCCTAAAGAGCAAGCAGGCAGGCCACATGGAATTGGAGATAGGTTGACTTTATATATGTAAGTAGTACAGTGTACACTGTACACAAAGTCCGACTTTGGCCTTGAAGCGGAGTTGCTTAAGCCTTAAAACGTGGGAAATCCAATGGGATCTAGTCAATAAGCCCAAGTTGATAGGTTGGTCATTTTGGCCAAGCTTTTCATAACCCTCAATATAAGTAATGGAATATAGCATTCCTTTTATTGTTTACATCTCCATAGGATGGACCAGCAAGATCCACCCTTTTCATTCAAGCTCAAGGCAAACTGCCTGTAGTATCCAACCACCTTCGTTGCTCCTGTGAGTATCCTGTTTTTCTTCATATTTTGTGCTGCATTCCTTCCCTGGACAAACCATTTTGGGGCGGAAGAGGTGAACTTTTGTTAGGGTGGTATTTCATTTTCATTAGAAAATGGATGTCTGTTATGTATATTTTTTTATTCCACTAACCCAAAGGAAATACAAAGAGTCAGAGATGAAACACAAACTCAAGATTAAAAAAGACCCATACCCTTATTTTTCATTTCCATGAAGCTACACCATAAAAGAATAAACTGAGTTAAGCAAGTGAAGAATGAGATTGCAGAATGACAATATAAAGACAATTGGATAAATATTCTGAAGAGCTAGTCTGTATATCATTTACAAGAATAAATTTACTGTATAAAGTATAAACCATGTATTCTGCCCAACTCATCTCTGGCTAATTCCAGGCGCTTTGAACAGCTTTCATATCTCTCGATTGTCCTGACCATGGACACACAAGTTGGAGAAGACCCAAACCTTCCTCAAAGTACTAACAGTTGCTGACAATTTTAACCCTACCGATGCTTGCAGTTCTACAGCCAGAGGCATTCTGATCTGGATGTGAATGCCACTCAGTCTTGCTAATTGAAATAAAGAAAACCTGCATATCCTTATTCAGCAATCAGCATGCATTTCAATGGTTAGAAGGCTCAAATCCAAAGGGAAGAACTCTTCCAGCTCCTTTCGGTTATCTGAAAAACCTCGACCACCAATAGTAAAAGATAAACATGACAAATGATAAATAATAAATTGGTAACTTCTTATTCTTGCATTACCCAGATTGCCAGTCATCTTACATTTCCCGGATGAATGAATTTTGTACATTAACCTTCTTGTTTCTTATAAATGGAAATATTAGCAGATATGAAATATATTAGGCAGTTAGTCATCACCATCCACAAGACTCCACCCAGGTATCTTCTTCAAACCCCCATCTTTCATCACCTTCCTCAGCCTCAGAACATCCTCCCACCTGCCAGCCTCAGCATACATATTAGACAGAACAACGTAAACCCCATGATTGTTTGGTTCCAGAACAAGAATCTCCTTCACCACTCTCTCAGCAATCTCAACATTCCCACGATTCTTACATGCGCCTAACAAGGCCCCCAGAACCACCACATCAGCTTTCCAAGCCATCCCTTTTATCAAATTCTCAGCCTCTGCTAGTCTGCCACTTCGCCCAAGAAGATCAACCATGCATCCGTAATGCTCAATCTTTGGTTCAATCCCATATTTCCTCTTCATGGAATTAAAGATGTTACGACCAACCTCAAGTAAACCAGCATGACAACAAGCAGATAAGACTCCTACAAAAGTGATATCATTCGGAGCAACCTCTCGCTTATCCAACTGAAAAAAGAGGTCAAGTGCCTCCTCGGCATGCCCATGAACAGCTAGCCCACATATCATGGCATTCCAAGTCGCTGTATTTTTCTCAGGCATCTCGTCAAACAATTTTTGAGCCATCAGGATTGCACCATTCTTGGCATACATGTGTACTAACGCCGTGCCAAGAATAACTCCTACTTCAATTCCCTTTTCTTTTATAAAGAGATGAATTCGCTCCCCCAATTCCAAACAACCCGATCGAGCACAGGCGGACAACACGGAAGCTAGAGTCGCATCGTTAGGTTCAATTCCTTCTGAGACCATCTGATCGAACAGCACCAGTGCCTCATTTGAGCAAAAATTTTGTGCATATCCACTAACCATAGTGGTCCAAATTATCAAATTTCTTTCAGATGCTTCTTCGAACAATTGCCGGGCATCGCTGACGTTGCCGGAAACAGAATAACCACGGATCAAGCCATTAACCACATACAAATCTATGTCCAACCCAAATTTTAGAACATGGGTATGGATTTGTTTACACGATGAAAGTGAGTAACAGTTAGCACAAGCCTTAAGGACGAAAGGGAAGGTGTGCTTACCCGGTACGATCCCCAGCTTTCTCATTTTCATGTAGAGAAATATGGCTTGCGCGGGGTTTGGACTGTCAGCTTGGGCTCTAATGAGGGTGTTCCACATAAAGGAATTTGGTTCTGATATGCGACTGAATAGTTTCAGAGCGTAAGCGAGATCTCCTGAAGGCGAAAGAGCACAGAAGGAGAATATACGACTTGCAGCGTAGTTGTCGTGAATGCGAGCAGAGACGATCATTAGGGCGTGGATTTGTTTGAGTTGGTTCATGGAAGCGCATCTATCAGCAAGAAGTGAGAAGGGTGGCAGCTTTGCCGGATTCTTTGGGGGCGGAATTGTGTGGGAGTGAAATGGGGAGAAAGAGTAAAGCGAATTTTTGAACTTGAAGAGTCGTGGCTTAGGCGGGAACATTCTGGGTTCGGTCGTTGAGCCATGAAAAACTAGCCGTCCAGGTATCAATGAAAAAGGTCGTCCATTTCAGCTGGCGATCGAACTTGAATGGATCATCTGATGGGTTGGTTCAGGGATTCGATTTCGATCCTTGTGTGCTTGTTCAGACTCCACTCTAGAGGCAGGCTTTCATTAGCAAGTTAATGCTTGTGCCTTGTGTAGTGGCTCGGACTTCCGGAGTCAGATTTCAATAGGTAAGGACGCAAGGTAACTCGAAAGGATTACATACAGGGGCACTTTGGTAAATAAAGTTACGAGGCATTTGCCTGGTCTATTCTCATGTGTAACAATTGCGTTAATGGCTTGATTTAACACCATTATCAGAGCTTCAAGTATCACGTATCTTTGTAGAGGTAATGCACAAGCAGAATCACTGTAAGTAAACCAACTTTGCTTAGCTAATTGATAATCTCTGTGCTCTCTTTTGAACCATAATGATAGCCATTTTAATGTGCTTTAAAGGTGCAAATACAATATGCAATCCAACCGGCGGCTTATGCCATTGACTTATTGATACAAACGCATCTCAAAACTATCCATCTGCATCTCAGTAGGTTTGGAAGATCCAAGTACAAGCACAGGGAAGTAAGTATTAGGCAACCACAGATACATCTAACAACCAATGTCCTCTGAAACAAGCACAATGCAACGGCAAAAGAAAGATGCCTAAATATCCTATGCACTTCAATTCGAGTATTCAAAATGGTTAACAGCTAATTTTATTTCTCAGATCTGAGTTGCAAATTATTAATTTCCATTCAAAGTGAAAAAAAAAAAGAAAGAAAAAGAAAACAAATAAACCTTAAATTTCCTTCAGACTTCTAGTATGGAGATACTTGAGTGGAGCTGTAACAGCTAAGCAAAACTTCCATAACCTTCTCAACCACCACACCACCACCTACAATTATAGTGGAAAGTAGCAATGAAAGATAAGTGGAATTGTTTGATTCCGAAAGGAGAGAGAGAGAGAGAGAGAGAGATGCACGCACCTAAATGTAATCTAAATCTAAATGGATCAGACCAATCTAGACATTCTTGCTCTTCTTTCCTGCAAACTATATTCAACAGAGAAGGCCATAGGATGGCATGTCTTCTATGCGTAGGACTTCATCTGAAAGTTCTCTCTCCAGCTGAGCCCGAGTAGATTTCAAGACATCCTAATCAAATGTAATAATTCGATTTTGGATTAAAATCAACATGAGTCAGACAATGAAGCCAGAAGAGCAAGTTTCAAAAACATCCAATGAAACTGCAGAAAAACAAGCCCAAACTAAATTGCACACTACTATGAAACCATAATGCAGCTTACATTGAACTCCATGTATGTGGCATTCTTCTCCAACCACTGTTTGTCCATAAGCACAAAAGCCACACAATAAAGCAAATCGAATGCCCATTCATTCTCTGAATAGAGGAAGAAAATATGAATTTTTTTTTCAAAATTAGGAAATCATGTGAAATTTTCTTTATCACTGTTCTATTTATAGCATGCAGCTTGTAGATGATGCCATACCTTGAACTGTGTATTTAAACCTTTGAAACATTGGATTTTGAGATTGGCATACTGTATGATATCTACAATTCAGGAATGTATATAATTCCAAAAGCCCATTCTAATATTCTAATATGGAAACATGCTGTAAACCGGACTGAAATCCATATAATACAAATATCCCACTTGTGAATTGACAAAACCACACTCAAACTCCACTCCGGCAGTTAATAGCATGTTTCAAAGTAAGAATGTGCTTTCTAAGTTTGTCGGTATAAAATTAATTATTTTTGAGGTCTTACCTGATAACATTTGTATAAAAGCATCTCTAACAAGTGTCCTTGGTTTTGCTGCAAAACAAGGTGTCCTACATTACTAACATCACAATTCAATTCGATCAGAATTTTCCAAATTCCATACAAGTATAAAGAGTGGCATTGACCAGTCAAATGATTCAGCAGTGAGCATGTACGATTTTGATAAAGCAAAGCATATTCTTCATGAAAACATATTTGAACAGAGTTTCAAGAAGTCCAAGTAGAAGTTGGTTATTGATTCTTACAAGAATCTAGATCTAGCATTTGCATGATCATGAATGTGATGTTCACACCAGCAACGGCAAATGGATACTCCCAAGTAGCTCTCTTTCCCCCTTGCTTGTTTACTAGATGCTGAAAGGATGTCTGCAAAAATATATAAATGAATAAATGAAAATAACTCAGAGTGCTTTTTCTCTTTCAGTATATAGAGTTGCAACTTGCAAGAGAGGGAAAAACAATAAAATCCAGCAGTTTTCCTATTAATTTAAAAGAAATGTCCTGTTTCAAATAATAGTGATAAATGAACAGCAACTGATATGAATAGGCTAAGAGTGTTTTTGCTGCTGTGAAGGATAAAAAATCCATAATTATAAATTCTTAGTTGAGTAGCATAGTCTGGGATCTCACAGAGAATGTCTTTGCAAAGAACAGCAAATTCTCCAAAGAAATGAAGCCAGCTCCTCTGTTCATCAGATAAGTTGCTCATATCAAAGCATAAGCAGAGCTAGAAAACCACCTTTATGAAAGAAGTAAACAATCAATAACAGTAACCATCTGAGAATTAGAGAAACCTGAAATCAGTAGATGGATCTCTGCCCTGCCAGCCCATTTCCTTCCATTGTTCGGATATCAGACCATGGAGCTCCTTGCCAGGGTAAGTAGCTGACCAAAGCGCTCTCAAAGCATCCTGGTGCCATGAATATAGCTTGGTCAATTGTAGTAAAAATAAGTAGGGCACATTAGACAAATTCATCGTTTGATTAAATGCATTTTACATGTTTAGGTTTCAATATTCAAAATTTTTCTTCATTTTTTTCTTTTTTTCAGGGTGTGTTGCTTTTCTTCATACATTGATCCATATAATTGCAGATGAAAATACATAAAGTATAACGCACCTGGTGATCTGGCCTGGTACCATCAAAGTAAACCTTCATTCGATGCTTCAATCTTTGAAGTCTTTCCTCCTGAAACATGTCCACAACTTATTAATGGAATCCACCAGTGTATATCTATGAAAGTGAGCTGCATAGTATGATTTAAAGCATCAATAGAATGACATCTCTCTATTTACTACCATGAATACTTATCAAGAATCAATAGACATGGAAGAAAGCTACGTTTGAAAATAGTTGATTTCAGAATTTTGGCTTTTTTATTCATTGCATGTTATCCAAAAAAGGAAACAAACAAGAAAAACAATTTACAGACCATAAAGTGGCGGAAAATTCACCCTTATTATAGTCTGTGGTGGTCAGGGCACTGACAACATTGACCACAAAAGGGTTAAACATAGTAAAAATTTTCTGATAATTTTCTTAATAGACATAAAACTGAAGGAAACCTCCCATCAACAATTCTAAATTAACTTGCCACAACCTCCAAGACAATCCCATGTGCTGTAATTTTGACAAAATACATATTTCTACCAAGTAGGAGAAATCCAGGAAACATGTGCAAGAACCCTTGCTAGGTGAATGTCCCAACCACTGTTTCATGCTTTCAAGCCCAAAAAACTCTCACTGTCTTAGACAATTTTACATAAAATCTTGGAATTCCCTATAAGGACATCTAATCCTTGTTTCATATAGTATTCATCTATAACCAAAATTTTGCAATTTTCCAACATGACCCACAATTCCTCTGCACATCCTTTCCATACAAAATGGTTGGCTTTTTCAATTTTGTAATTGATGTAGGATCAGCTCAGTTATAATCCTTAGAGAATGTTGAATGGTCTTCTTGATCAAAGTTTTATGGCTGTTGATGTCTGTAATGGCTTCTTGAAGGAATAAAAGAGAAAACAGGGAGAGAAAGAAGAGAGAAAATACCTGGAATCACTCACAGGGTGCCTAGAATCACTCACCATAGCTAGCATAAGCTGAAGAAAACTCAATGTATTTCATTGCCTTTGTGTAAAACGTCCATACATATTTATAAACTCTAAACTCATAATAATCCTACGAGTCAAACTGTTAGACTCATAATAGTCTTAGGAGTAAAGTTGTTAGACCCAATAATCCTAGTAGGATTCAAACTAAGCTGTCATATTCTATTTCAATTCAAAGAAAACTCAATAACTCTAATCCTACTTATGCAATGACTCTGAAATTTTAAACATAAACAAACTATAACTAGAAAATTTAAACCCTATCAATGGACCCCACAGAAAATTTCAAAAATGACAAAATTACCCTTGGTATTCAATTCAGTCCAAATCGCAAGTACCATCACTATGGCATATCAGGACCTGTTGTAAGGCCTTCTTCTTTCTAGAATAAGTCTTCAAGGGTGCTGATTGATTCGTATCAGTAATCCACTCTCATGAAAAGCTGACTAATTATATAGGCAAATCATGGACCATACAAGACATAATTAAGGATTCTATGATGCCATTTTTGATTGCTGAAGTGGTATCTTGATTCAACTGCATTTTCCTATTCTTGTTACTCATAATACATAAATTTGGGGCTAATTTATCTAAGTCTATTAACCTGGTAAACTCACTGATAATCTTTTTATGTGGGTAAGAGAAAATCCTTTGTAGAGCAACCCAACTAATTCAGTGAACCTCTCCCAAGGATCATGTTTCGACCTATGGCTGTGCTTAGCATCAACTGTTGCACTAGGACATAGGCATATATAGATTTCCAGAACTTTTTACCAAGACAAGAATCGCAAAGTAAATTCCCGCCCTAATTGGCTTGGTTGTCCAGAACTTTCATGACACTCTTTCTCGTTGTATGCTTTAAATTCCATCAGGTCATCAGTTACTCATTCCACCTGAATTGTGATTATTTGGTGTAAGCACTAGAATAATTCCTACTGACTCGAGGAAATATTGACCTGAGCAAGTAAGACAGTCAGAATAAGTGGGAATTACAGAAGCGGTGATAATGATGATCTAAATAAGTGGGAAAAGAAAAAGAGAGTCAGTAAGTGACAGAAGGAATTATAAGTTTCACCTATTAGGTTTAGCTTTCTTTTCCAATGATCCACGGGCGTTCAAGTCACAGGTGTTGGTGCTGCCGAACAGACATTTTAGTTAAGAGAATTCCATCTTAGGATCTGAAATAATGGCTGTTTGATTATGTAGGAAACCAGTGAAATCATTAGAATTGGCTTCCAACCCATATACTGGGGACTCTGTTCCTTCTTCTCTATTAATTCCAATGAATTACTTCAATGGTTCAACCCAAAAACTGAACAGATTGGAGATAAGTGGAGGAACATGAAATAGGTTGGTAAGAGGCAATTGGCAAAAACGATGGGGGCGGGGGCTCAAAGAACAAATTAAAAATATATATTATAAACAAAAACAGTTCAATAACTCCTGATCACAGAAAATTCTTGCCTGCAAGGGTGTTAAATTAGTGCAAAGCCGCTCATAAGCTCCTTTCCTCTTGAAGCAAATACAAGTTAAACCTCTCCCAATCCATGCCGGCATGTCATTAATTGCATCCTCTGCAAACAACCATTCCATTCTTAGACATTAGTCAAACAAGTTACATTACCAGTGAATTGGATCTCTTTTAATGTATCATGAAAGAAGTGGAAAAGACTCTCAAATGATCAGTGATCAGGTGAACACTCCCAGCTACCTCGGGTAGGAACCATACCAGAGCATTTTATGGCAAAAATTTGGTAACAGAGCAGGTGAGTCTGATGAGAAACCAGGCGTAGTTGAAAAGAAGAGTGAGTGTAGAAGGGAAACATACAACAATGGTTGAGTGGCACTGCATTTGAATTTATCACGTCTAAACAATCTACGGTTATTATTTCCACCATGCACTTACAGCCTGTGATGGTTGGGCCGCAGTCCTGTAGGTAGCCCATCTGAACTGGTAGCCCTGTTGCCGCCCAAAAAGGAGACGGGATCGCGCCTCACATGCACATCCACCGTGCATTGAAAACATCTCCCGTAAATAATAATTAATAAGTGCAGGAGATGTTTCTAATGGTAAGATGTGCGTGTGAGGCGCCAGATGTGAGAGCAGATCCGACCTCCCCAAAAAGAGACATACGATTGTACGAATAAAGAGTATAATCACATCGACGCCGAGTTGAGATCTTCTGCCAATAAAATACGTTCCGACCTTCTGCCAATATCATCTAACACCGCACATCCTGTATACATCATAAAAGTAGGACCTGGGATGTGCCGTGTGAGATTGTGTTGGTAGAGTTGGAACGTGTTTTGTTGGCGACGCCCAGTGGGGCGCCCCCACAAGTGAGGGTTTAAATGGATCATCCGATCCGATTCGATCCTATTTGGTCGAATTCGGATCACCTTTGTTTGAATTATAAAATCGGATTCGGATCCCTTGTTTGATTTGAAAAGATTTTATTCGATATATATTATATATTTATATAAATAAATATAATATATATGTTATTTATTTATTTATAAATATATTATTTATATTGTATTTTTGTAAATTTGTTATATTATTTATTTTTTATAAAAACATGTATATATATGACGAAAATAATTAAAAATGCTTATATTTTTTGTTTTTCTTTATTTAAATTAATATATTTTATTTTTCTTTTAATATTTTATTATTTTTTAAATAAAACAAATCGGAACAAATCAAATCTGAATATCCAACTTTCCGATCATATTTGAATTCAGATCCTTGCCTATAAGATCCGATCGAATCTTTGAATTGGATCGAATCCACCATGAATAGTGTCAAAACGGATTTGGATATATCTTGATTTGAATCCGTTCTAATCCATTTGCATCCTTGCCCATTATGTCCCACAACACATTCCAACCGTGTATAGAAACATCTCTCAATGACTAGTATGGGAGATGTTCCCAAGGGTCAAAATATCAATACGTATTGGTCCGTATTAGCTGATACGTATCATGCCGGTGGCTTCTCGATACGTCCCTACAAGGGTTGTATCAGGTCAGCCACTGGTTCAGAGGGTAGTTGGGCCTTAAATTGGTCCCTCTGAACCAATTTCGAAAAAAAAAGTGACACATAAAAAAAAAGCACCGACACAGGCCGATACGCCCGACGTATCAGCTTGTGTCGATATTTAGAACCTTGTGCGGGACCAATGCAAGCCTGCAATTTTATACGGGCTGGACTTGGGTTTTCAGTCCTTGCCCCTTGGGCAGGTTTGGGGTCAAAAGTTTGGCCTTTTCATTTTCAGATTGGGGTCGGGCTTGTCCAATCTAGATCTGTTCATGGGTCGGGTAGCCTGACAGCCCAGCCCGTCCCGACTCGCACCTCGGTCAGGCTCAGGATTTGTCAAAAAAGCCCAGCCCGAGCCCGACCTGGCCTGACTCATTTATATAATATAAAATATATAATATTTATTATAATATATATACATTAATACTTTAATATATATTTTTTATTTTTTCTTTATAATTTTTCTCTCTCTATTCAACTGCTTCAGCAACGGCATGAGCTATATACTTCGGGCTCAGGCCTAAACTTGGGCTTCGGGCTTTTTATGAGAACTAGGCTTGGGCCCAAATTGTAGGCCCGGTGGTTGGACCGGGCTCGAACTCGATCTCAAGCCTTAAAAAAATCTGTTAATACAGAATAAAAACCCGACCCGATCCCAATCCGGCCCATGAACAGATCTAACCCAATCCCGATTCAATTTTATTGCAACTCTATTCCAATCTGATTATATGCATTCATTGAACAATCTAAAATTAGCCCAATCTGAAACCCAACATAAATGCATCAGATTTCAGTGTAGATTGGATCCAGGTTAGACATATTACTTGACCTCGGGCAGTCGGGCTCTGTCTGAACTTGGGCATTATACCTTATTTTTTTCTTTGCTTCATAGAACCGCACAACTATAAGTCAAATTGGGATCTTCTTCTCACGGAGCGTGCCTCACACCAATCTCACCTCATAATCACATTCTACCCTATATTGGAAATTATCTTCACATAAATAATAAATATAAGTACAGAAGATATCGCTCTGTAAGAAACAAATCCGGATTCCACTAAGTCAGATATCCTAACAACTGAACCACCACCTTAGGCCCCATATTTAATTCAATAATAGGGTTCCAATCTGATGTCAGGATAAAATTCCGTAACCTAAGAGGCCCTCCGTAGACACACATCTTCTCGGAGGCTGCTGGAATTAATTTCAGTCTCGCTTTGTTTTGAGACTTCAGAGTTGCGAGAAACATTGGTTAGGAGACAAAATTCTGATTTCTAACGTTACCCCTTCTCAGTTTTCTTAGTCAAAGTTACGTGTGTTAAGTCTGGAGAAAGTGAACATTTTTAGATTGTACCGTGTTCGGTCATCAGTTGTGTCATCTTGACTTTGACCGACCCATCAACAAAAAGAGACAAACAGTATTACCTTTCGTCCACATTTTATCCGACAAAATCAGTCCATGGTTCTCAGTTCTCATTCAAGACCAAGACCATGAAATGAAAGGACCTAGCTTAAAGAACACCGGATGCTGCATTGCTGCTGCAATCAAGAGGCCGTTCATGGCGTTTGAACCAGCTGCCTTGATTCATTAGTCTATTTTCATGAAAATACCAGATCTTTTCATTCCGCTGAATATAAGAGAGCTCTCTCTCTCTTTTTTTTTTTCAAATTTACTTTTGATATTAAGAATCTTACAAAGTTCAGTGTCAAGTTTCTTATTAAAGAAACCCTAGCTAGGTTCCCTGCCGGATATGTAGCGGCCATCATCTTCTTCCACCAAGCCTGTCGGTTTTTTTTAGGCTGAATTTACCGAGAAAATCACCATGAAACCCTAAAATCTCCATTGGAGTTCATAACTAAGAAAGCAAAAGAGTGCAGGAAATCTATATATGGGAGACAGAGAAAACCAATGGAGATTAAATAATCCAAATCATCGTCAAACCAGCGTCGTAGAGTTGAAAAAGGAAGAAGTAATAAGAACAAACAGAAAGTTTATAGTGAGGCTTTTAGGAGAAAAACCGATCCAAGCTAAGGTGCAGGAACACCTCAAAGCTTGCTTAAAAGACGCGATCCAAAGAAGCAACATTGGGAACTACCAATTAACATATATATCGTATTACATGGGGAGATTCATCAAGATCGTAGAGAGAGGCTGAAACTTTACACAGAAAACGCGATCGTATCGTAATAACAAGTTCAAAAGAAAAATGTAATAGGATCAAAGACGTGAATGAGTAGAAGAGAGAATACCTGAAGAAGCGGAGCCATGAGTGCATTTGGTGGGAGAGAAGGAAGAGAAGGTTCGCATTGCAACGCAGCCACCCTGAGTCCTCTCGATGCTCATTTCAACGAGTGAACACCTCTTCGCCGCTCAAGTTCTGTCTAGAACTCGGATTTTTGTCCGCTCAAAAGTAACAGATGGTCATACTGTAAAGAGTAGACAGTAACTAAAGACAAGAGAGAAAAAGTGAGAGAGAAAGGGAGAAGAGTAAGAAACGTGTTTGGAATCTCCGTCGTTTTCTCTTGCTTGCGGCAATAAGCCTAAGGTTGTCATGGAAGATGAGTTTTAACTTTTTATGTTATCTCCAATTATCGAATAACGTGAATGCGCGGAATCAAATCACACACCGGAAATTTAAATGTTTCCTAGTAAATATTTGTCAATATATAAGTGCACCTAGTAATGTTTTTTTCTTTTTCCTGGTAAAATTTTTACGTGTATAATGAATGTTTTATCGATAAAAGTGTCATTGCGATAATAATATTATATCATATATTATCAAATTTATGCGTGGCCTAAATAATAATTTATCCAAATCTAAAGTATTATTTACCCAAATAAATGAGCTGTTCATTAATCATTATTTTTCATAAGGCCCGCTAATACTGAAACATGGATGCATGTTTCTTTTGTTTTTATGAGATCCACCAATTTACTTGCCCCCATTTACTGGGGAACAAACGTGCCCTAAGATGAATCGATACATTGCATCATTTGAACTTGAACTCGAGTTCGACTCGATTCGATATATTTGAATTCAAAAGACAGAGAGCACACAACAGAGTGAAGACAAAGCAAGATTAAAATACAAAAAAGGGAACCCATGCCAATGTAAATAATCATAAAATATTAAACAACATAATATATTGAAAGTATTGTATAAATATATTAAAAATTAATATTTTATTAAATACTCAATTGGGCTTGCGAGCCCTTTGAGCCGAGTACTACAAAGCTTGAATCTCTACTCGATTAATTACTCAAGCTACTCAAACTTGGCTAGAACATGATTATTTGTGAGTCAAATTAGAGTATTGATTGAGTTGATTTTGAGTAAATTATGAGTAATTTGACTTGTTGCATTTGGCATTTCTTATTTTAAAGATTTATCTCATTTTTGTTGTTAAAAACTCGGTATTCATAGGGACATTTTAACTGCAAAAAGGAGATAAATACTTAAAATAAGGAATGCCAAATGCAATCAACCCCTATGAAAATCCCTTTCATCTCTTGCAAGTATATGTTTTTTAGATTCAGTTTGGGAAGAGTACAAATACAAATATATACAATATAAATACATACAAAATAATACAAAAGGCAAGGTTTTTCACTCTACATATTTGCATTTGTTGATAAAAAAAAAAAATTGCATTAAACAAACTGAAGCAACCATAGAAGAGATTACAGCCTAAAATATGAGATAAAAAAATAACAGAACACACCTAGAGACAGATCCTCAAACAAGAAAAAATATTTCGCAAATAGAGTTTTTCTTAATGCCTCGATTTGGAAAACATGCAAATACAAATATGTACAGTATAAAACCTTGTATATTGTATTTCTAAATCTTATATTTGCACTTTACATATTTATACGTATTTGCACTCTTTCTAAACTAAGGTTGTATTTGATACCATTTCTTTATCTGAAAAGTTTTAGGTTGATCAATATAAATTGGCACACTATTATTATTTAAGACTATTTATGACTGAAATAGGCATACCTTAAAAATGCATAACATCAAATTGGTGTTTCTTGCTCCAGTTCCATGGGATGAAGTCTAATAGTTATAGCTGAAATTGCTGTTATTTGTGACATGACAATACATGATTCTCACCAATTTATATTTGATCAACCCCAAAACTTTTCAATAATAGAAACAGTAATGATACCAAATACAACCTAATTTAAGGCTAAACGTAAACAATGAAAGAGAATTAAACGAGAAACACTTGGATGTTATAAAAATGGTTGAAAAAAATAGAATGTAAGCAGAGCCATTGGATTCGTAGGAGCTTGGTGGAATGCTTTTCCAAAAGGTGTCACGGTCGTTGAGTCATTTGTTCACCAAGCGTCTATTTGGCATTGATGTCGTTGCTCCAGAAAATGGTGACACATCAGCGCTACGTCGGAAAAACGGTGCTTTAGGAAATGCCTGTTTGTTTGGAATCATTTTTTCCATAAAAAACGGTGCTACAAGCCACACCTTGGAAATCGGGAAGGCATGGCTTGGAGCAACGCTGAATTTGGCGTTTCCTAGAGTTGTTGCCAACAGGGACATGAGGTGGCAGTGATAGGGACATGACGTGGCACTGGATAATAGATACCAGTGCTGAAAATGTTTCATGGAGCATTGGTACCAAACAGAAAACGTTATTGTTGCTCCAAAAAATGTCCTACCTGGTAGCAACGTTTCCAAACAAAAAAAAAGACACTATTTTCTGAGAAAACGATGCTTCCAAGTTCTAACCCTCACATCAGCAGCACAATCTGCAGCATCAATGCCAAACATATACTAAATAGACCTCAGGTTTCTTCCTTATTACTACTAATCGGTCGCTCATTGATTCTTTAGTTTTTGATTGTTTTTTCGTCTTTGGACATAAAGGTGGAAGGGTTCTGAAACAGTTCGGATCAGGTAGGCACAATGTTGTATTTAGAAAGTTTTTTGACACCTGTCCCTCAAAATACCCCCAACTTACCTTGAAAAAGATTAATACCCACTTTTGACAGTTGTCAAAATATTTATTAAGTGCTTATTTAACATGATTACTTTGTTGCACCTACTAGATTTGGTCCCATTCTGTAGGGATGCTTATGGTTCGGTTAACCAAACCATGGGCCTTTTTTGTAACCGAACCGGTACTACTAGTTTTTGGAAAATCGGCAACTGAAGCCAATTGGTTAACTGGTTGATCGGTTCGGTTAACCGTCAGTTCAGTTTGTCGATTTTTTACTTTTTACAATATATATTATATAAAATAAAAAAGTATAAATATATATATATAAAATATTATAGTTTAAATAATAAATAATATATCATATATTATAAATATATATATATATATATATATATATATATATATATAAAAAAAGTATAAATATATATATAAAATATTATAGTTTAAATAATAAATAATATATCATATATTATAAATATATATATTATGCATATTTATTAATTTATAATATAATATATATATAATATACATAAATATATAGAAATATATGTTTACCAGTCGGTTTAATTAACTGCCGGTTTTCTACATTGATTAACCGAAATCGAATCGATACCTTCAATTTTTTTTTAAAAACACCAAACCAAAACTAAACCAATCAATTCGATTAAACAGTTTTTCGGTTATGTTTCGATCAATTTTTCAGTCCGTTCGGGGATTTTTTTTCTTTTTTGATCACCCTACCGTTCCGAAGAGGGTGGAGGCGTGCGGAAAGATTTTAGAAGAGTTTGGAACGGAAGGGTTTTTTTTTCGCTTCATGGGAGGGGATGAGTGTCGAGATGTTGCAGGGATTTTCTCTGAGTCCAAATGTGCTGGATGACTGGATCCGAAGTGATCAATCCATAGCAATTGAGATGGTTATTCCGTGTTCCTTCAAAGATGGAGGTGAAACTATAAGCTTCTAATAAGGTTAATGTACCTCACGTGCACCCTATTCATTTCGTGTCCCCATCCACTTATCGATCTATATCATGCAATATAAAAGAAATAAAAAGAAACTTTTAATCAAAAGCCATTTTTAGCTAATGGTAGGTTTGACCGTTTGATGTTTCCAGATTTGCCTTATGTTTAGGTTATCAGGGTGAGACCCACCTCAAAAAGCCAAAAGCCACAATGTGAAAGCCCTTTCAAAAGGGGCATAAAATGTCTTGAATTTATTTTATATATTCGTGATTCATTTATGTATTATATAAAACGGATATTTTGATTTCCATGCAAGTCATAGAAATTAAATCCAAATATTATATATCAAATCTGATTAATGTTTGTTTGTACATGTATATAAAACGTATTCTTATATTACTAAGAATTAAGAATTAAAAAGGGTAAAATATAAAAACCTCCTCTAATGTTTTTTATAATTATAAAAATCTCTCATATAGTTTCACTTTATAAAAACCTTCCCTGAATTTTTAAACAATTTGACAAAAACCTCCCTTTCAGCAATGACCCAAACGGAAAAGTCAGATCGGTACATCAATTTTGCTCCAAATTCCCATTTTACCCTTTTGCAAATTAGTTTGCATACATTTTTTACTAAAATACCCCTGCTGACCTGTTATCCTCTTTACCTCTCCCGTCAACCTCTTTTATCCTCTGTCCTATCCCTGAATTCTTTCGTCTAAAGAGGAGGAAAGCTACAACTCTTTTAATCTTTCATCCAAACCCAAATGAAACACAACTCTTTCCTTTTCTCCCTGAACTTTCTTTGCCGATTTCTTCCTCCTCTTTCAATCTCCCAAGAATCTTTAATTTTGTGCTCAGTTATGTTTCTTCTGTTTGTTTCCCTACTTGACTTAGAAAAAAAAATCTATTTATTGAAGCATAAAATTTTAATGTATTTTGGAGGTATGGACCTGTTGAATGATATAGAGTATTTTTCTTATAAAAAATCTTCAAACCAGCAGTTGTTTGTGCTAATGGAATGTTGTTTTCAGCACAGGATTAATTAATGTTCACCATTCATTGGCCTGGCCGCTTGGCATTGATAGCTCCAAGGTGATGCAAGATATTTGTGGTGGGGAACAGGATGATATTGATCATCCGTATGAGGTTCCTATAGCCAACCATCCACCATTACCAGTCAAGGAAGCTAATGGGAACGAGGGCTCATTCTCATGAGTTTTTTGTACACGGGTTTCCAAATCATAAAGCACATAGTGTGTTGTATATTTTCTGCCCCGGAATTTTTTATATGCAGGTTTTCAAATCATTATTCGGTATAAATGCATCACTGTAAGTCATTTGTATATAGATTTCACTTTAGGAATGAAATTATTTCCAAAATTGGGTCCTTTAAATCGAAAAATATCTCATATAGCCATAATCTACTCTYGCAGCTGAAGTGTTCTCTCTTCCAAAGTTATGTGATTCCAAGTTTCGACTGAGACAGAGAAAACAGAGCAAGATGAACGATTTGATAACAAAACCCTTCCTCAGCTATGTGGATCTAAAGAAAGAAGCCATGAAAGATCTAGAAACTGGCAATGCCGACCTAGAGATGGTAGTGATGATGACGCAAAATCAAATA